TCCGTCTTTATTTTCTCTTGCTCCAATTTTTTGGCATCGTCATCTTTGCAACTTCATTGTCAAAGTTGGCCCTGACGGCGAAGAGAGGTCTTCAAGGGAAAGTAGGAGTGGAAAACTGCAAAGAAATGCTCAAAAACTGCGGCGTGCAAATACTGAGAACGAGAGTGGCGAACAACGAGGCTGCGGCCTGCCAGTTGGGCGCTAATTATATGTAAATAGCTGGAACGAAACCGCTGCGCGAGGTGCCATATAATTGGCCCTCATGCAGCTGCCAAGTATAGTTTTCAGACGGAGTGATCAAGGGAAATAGGCTGCGAAAGAAAAATGCTAAAATTGTCAAAGCGTGACGGATTCCAAGTGGCGACATCTTAACTGTGAAACATTGCCAAGATTGCTCTGACAAAATTTGAGAAAATTTAAATACCCAAGAACGGTTCAGCATCACCATAACAAAAACAGAGAATATTTACATTTTATTTACATGTAAATGTAATGATAAAAAACTAATATTTATAAACAGATACAAAGATTTTTTATCTTATTTTTCTAAAGTAAAATGTGTACAGATGTATGTTTAAGATAGATTAAAGTTTTTTGTGTTAGCCGATTGCTTAGCATATACAGCCAGCGTGTCACAATGTAAATGTATGCTAATTTAATTTCCGGAAATTTAAATTGTACAAAATGCAATGGCAATTAGCTTAAATGCTGGATAAATTCCTTTGCACTTCGGTCATTAGAGAAGACAAATTTCATAACACTTTTCGGTGTGCGTGAGAACGCATTTCCCTCCGGCTTCTACTCCTCGTCCCTGGAGACAACATTCAGAGCATAGAACAGCATTACGAAATTTCCCAAAAAATTCGTAGAAATGCCAAAATAAACGAGTGGGTTTGAGGGAACGGAACGGAAAGGTAGGGATGTGGAGGATGCTCTCCACATGAGCGACAGTAACCAACACGTACAAAACGCATAAACATTCTTGCCTAAGTGAGTTTGTACATAAATTTGGACCAACTTGCGTTGCAGGATGCGTTACAAGGAGACGTTTTTGTGCGGGTATCAGGATCTGTTGATGGGGGTTGGGTTGGGGGGCGAACCAGGATTGTGAGTGGAGCTAAACTTACGCAAAAATTCATGGAAAACACAACGAGCTTGGGAGTTTAGTCCGCTGGATCCGTTTTGGAATCCTCTTTTAATGTCTTTTTAGCTTTAAACTGCTGATTAGTAATTGCTAAGCTAAGATCAAGAGTCTTGAAAAAAAGAGGATGGTCGTCTTAGGGACCTGAACTGCAATGAGTTAAAAGAAATCACGGACGTACTCGAAATTTTTGAGCAAGCCTCTAATATTTTAGAAGGGGATCAATATCCAACACTTCATATGGTCATTCCCCAAACGTATTCACTAAAGAAGTCATGCCTCCCGAAACTAGAAGATTGCGACCTAATCGCTAGTATGAAAGCAACTTTGCTGTCGCATATGGACTCCATAGTTATTCCTCATATAACGAAATTTCATAAATTGGCAGTACTACTTTTTCCTCCAGCAAATGAAATGATACCATTCACAGACATTGAACGAGCAACGACAATTGACGATTGCAAATCAATAATGAAACAATTTTTAATTGAAGATACAGATAAAAACCTTGAAGGCACGCCATCCAAAAAATCATTTTTTGGTGAATTTGTGCGCTCCGTTGGAAATGAAACACAGGACCAAGCTATAGAGAGGGAGATAAGATCATACACAAATAACACTCTGCAGCATTTTTAGTGCTTTTTAAATTTACCTCGATGGATGCTATATTTTTGGATTCGTTACAAATTCCCAAGACAAACTGCGTTTTCAAAAAAGTTCCCCGACGCAAGGATTCTTAGCAAAAGGACCTCAAAGTTCGATAAATGCAGAAATTGGCCAACTTTCCGGAGCTCTCAGAGGCAAACGGATTCATGGTTTGATTCGATGCTAAAGTTTTTTAAAAGATACCTTCTTTATCTTTCAAACCCCATACTTAGAATAATTTTAGGATTTTTTTTAAGGCAGAAATAGATTCCAGAAAACATAGTCAAAAAACTTAAAAACATACAGCTGCGGTCAAAATAGTAGTAGTGTTGCCGCCCTGTGTTTTTAAAAGTTTGTTGTTGTAATTCATCTTCTTCTGGTGATATTGTATTGATTATAATTGTATTATTAGACTAATTGTAAAAGAAAAGTGACAACAAAAAACTTTTAAAAACACATGACGGCAACACTACTACTATTTTGACCGCAGCTGTATACTTTTATGTTTTTTGACTATGTTTTCTAAAACTTGTTTCTCCCTTAATAAAAATCCTAAAACTATTCTAAGTATGGGGTTTGAAAGATAAAGAGTGTATCTTTTATAAAACTTTAGCATCTAACCAAACTATGAATCCGTTTGACTCTGAGAGCTTTGGAAAGTTGGCCAATTTCGGAATTTTTCGAACTTTGAGGTCCTTTTGCTAAGAATCCTTGCGTCGGGGAACTTTTTGGAAAACGCAGTTTAACTTTGGAATTCGTAACAAATCCAAAAATATAGTATCCATCGAGGTAAATTTTTGATGCTGCATAGTGTAATATGACCCAATACACAGAGAGCATTCTCCCAAGCAGGAAATCTAATTTGTGTGAAAAGGGCCGCAATTACCTCAAAAAGCCTTATGGTAAAGCAACTTATGTTTTTACACAATAACATTCGAAATCAATCCAAATTATAAGTGAAAGTTCTTACAAAAACCATGTTACCAAAAAATGGGTGTTGGTCAAAAAACACATCTGTCTAAATATAAAAATCAATTCAAAAAGTTTTCGTCTTGTGAAAAGTATTTATTTCTGTGATCTAATCAGATTAAAAGATTAGAGAAATTTCAGACCTGAGTCATGACTCATAGGGAGTCATGAGTCATGGGGAGTCATGAGCTATAGGAGTCATGAGCTATTGGAGTCATGAGCTATAGGAGCCATGAGGTTTTAGGTCAGATCAAGTAGATCATGTTAGCCATGCCATGAGCTGAGCCATTCAGATCCAACAAATTTTCCGACATGAGCTACTCGAACCTTTTTTTAAAATGTGAGTCTAAGGGCCCTATGACTCCACTCATGCAGGGCTCTAATCAAGACCATATAATTTTTGTAAGTAATGTAAATTCCACGACACCAGTTAGGTTCTCATCAGTTTTTTCATACAAATTCACAATCAAACCAAAATCAAAATAATGGTAGGTATATATTAATTGGTTTCTATTTACTAATTCACTTAGAAAATAATTAACATCAAAATAAACACTTAAATTAACTAATGCACAGAGGAAATTCGACTTTATTTAAAGATTTGATGGACTTTGAACAACGCGTTGCAGTCATTACTTGAATTTAAATAATTTTTTATTTTTGTCATTTGAAACACTAATTCTTATTTATGAGGATTTTGTAGTTTTTAATGAAAAGGCTACAGCAGAATGTGACGGACAAGAAAAAGTGAAAAGATTGTTACAACCAAATACAGCGTTTTATTCATTATCAGACATTCTAAAACAAAATATTTAAGAATCCGCTAATGCAGGGTAAGTAAAAGTTTATCAGAAAGTATTTTCTTCACAATTATAAGGATAATATTGCTTAAAACCCGTGTCAGATAATAAATAAAAAAATTATAATCCATACCTGTTTTCGATCTGCTAAAAAACGAGTTAAAAGCCTGCCAGGGCGAATGATGTTAGTACTCAAATATTTACTCATTAAAAATTATACTATTGCTTAAACCTTTATTAAAATACCGGTTACTTGTCTGTTTTGAAAACGCTGACACAGCTGCAATTGAAATTATTCAACGAATCATGACAATATCATTGGCTGTTTGCATTATGCAAGCATTCCCGGTCCTTTGAGGCTTGATGGCATTTCCCGAACACCTACACATTCGCCGGAAAAGAAGCAACTTTAGTAGCATATTTCACGGCGTTTGCGGCCGAAGAGAGCGAGCGCCAAGAGAACGGCGCACGCCGAAGAGCGAATTCGGGGTTAAGAGAGTCCACAGCACACATCACTGACCTACATTAAGTAAAAATTTATTTATGCCGGCTGCCAAATTGGTTCCCCAAAGCATTGGCAGTTCCCCCGGCCCCCTGGCCCCTTGACTATGACGGATATGATTGTTGGTCGGAACCCCGCCTCTTCTCCACCCCAAACTGGTTACTATTACTGCCTTTGTGGTTGTTGGCTTTAATAATAATGGTTTGTAATTTGCATAAATAATGTTTGATTTTTGCATTGATGAGAGAAGAGTTTGTTGCGCCTGAATGTGTGTGTTTGGGGATTTTAAAATGATTGAAAGCTTGGTCCTCGTTGGGTAATGGCCGGCTAGATGGCTGTGTATTTCTGCATTTAAATCGATAAATTAGCCAGCTGGGAAGTGATTGCATTGGAAAATTCCTAAATATATATTTGGTTTAGTTCAAAAAGTAGAGCTAGTAGTTTGCCCTTACAGGGCTGACTTCGTTACCTTAGCCCATGGTGGAGCAATGATTTCTTGGCCTGTCAACGCACTGTTAACCCGCCAACAGAGCTCTACCTCTGTTGCTCTCCATCAGGACGCGGCTCTCTTCGCCTTGGGTCCTCGGCTCGTTTCGGCAACTTCGCGAGTCCTTGCCGAACTCCACGAACTCCGACACGAAGCTCACTCGTCACTCGGCATTCCTGACGAATGGCAGCGATTATCGCCCTTCGAGGACTTTGTGTAATCAGTGCGTCCTGCTAAGCAAATTAGTTTAGTATGGTTTTAGTGCGCAACGCTGACGGTCGCGCTAGTTCGCAGCTCTCGAAAAGTTAGTGCCGAAAGTCTACGCGTTCGCGTTTCGTCCCTCGACGGAGGAAATTCAATTCCACGAGACAGTGTTTCCGAAATCATCATAGGACACTAGCCCAGCACTGTACGTAAGCGGAAGAAATGGCCAGAGTTAAATAAATAAATAAATAAGTGCAAGACTCAACCGGCGACGCTGGCTGCCAACTTCAATTTGGTACTTCATTTTTCACAGCCCGCTTAACGCAAATTGTGCCGGCTCCTTGTCCTGGCTCCTTGCTGGGAACTAAGGTCCCGACTGTTTACCCTTGCATCCTGATTTCCCCTCCCCTGCTGATTGCATTCTTGGTGGCAAGTCGAGCGTGGCTCATTAAATGGCTGGCGAAAAAATGAGAGTAGACTGCGAGACCGACTTGCGGGAAAACAATCACAGCATTCCTCTCGGATTGTAGAGCCTGCAAATGGCATTTATAGAAGAGCCCTAGCGGCCCTGTGCAATTGCGGTATTTTATTCGTAATTTCGCTTTGACTGTCACGCCAATTGAATTAATTCCACCGAGGAATTTAGGATTTAATTTGACATTTAATTATTGCAATTAAAAGTGGCCTGCAAAGAGCAAAACGCACAAAAAAAAAACATGTAGCCGAAACGATAAAACGGGCAGGATTATTATCACACGGGATGAAACGGAATTATGAAATTTGGTTGGAAAAAATTAAATTGCTTTTGAAAGTGGTTGACAACAGAAAGCCTTGTCACATTACAGCTGTGGCTCGCAATAAACCCATTCATAAGCGTAAAGAATATATAACAACCAGTAATATGTTTTAATGAAACTACTGATAAACAAGTTTTATACTTGCGAAATAATTTGTGAAATTACATATGTACATTCGTAGCTTTTTGGAGTTTAACCGCAGTTTGGATCTAAAAATCTGAAAGTACTGATCAAAACGAGTTTAGCCAATTAAGATTGGCTTAATCGAAATTGCCGAATTTAATTTTATTTTCACAATAAATTACAAAAACCAAGACAAGTATAACTTTGACCGTAGTCTTTTTATACTCCTTTAAAGTATGTAACAGAGACAAGGAAGCGTTTCCAACACTATAAAGTATATATTCTTCATCAGGATATGGTCGATCTAGCCATGTCCGTCTGTCAGTGCGAACGCTGTGATCTCGAAAACTATAAGAGCAAGAGCGTAGGAGTTTCATTTATTTTGTATTCAGCATCTTAAAAGCAACTACTTTAATAAAGGATTTTAAAATTTCGTTATTTTTCGAATTAATAAAAATAACTTTTTAATGGGAGGTTAATCTTCACTTTTTAAAACAATTTCAATCTTCTATTTATTTTCAAAATTATAGTAAGCTTACGGGTCGTATGAGTAATTTGATGAAAACTTTAGGGCTATTGGGCAACCCAAAACTTTTAAGTTTTCAAATAAATATATTGCACCAGTGGCGGATCTAGGATTTTGTTGTGGGGGGTGATATCAGAACAATTTTTTTGTTGCATACCGTGTGGGGTGTGTTATATCACCCATATTACCCCCGTGGATCCGCGCATGTATTGCACAGCATTAGGGACTTTTATTTTAGAAATGCATAATTTAAATTCAGGCGCATTCATCGAATTGTATTTTTAAAAAAGAACAATACAAACTGTGAAGTATAAATAAAGCTCCCTTAAGTTTGCATCAATTAGCGAAAATGCCGAAATCAGTTGGTATCGGCCAACTTTTTGATAACTTTTGTTCGCTGGTAAGTCGGAATCAGTTTGAACGCCTCGTAATGGTAGGGCGAACAACAGTCGAGCTTTTACTAAATTAATGGGAGCCCACGTCAAGTGTCAGAGCATTGCAATGGGGGAACGGAATAACATTTGGCTTTGTTGTGTCTACAAATTTGGGGAGCGCTGCTCGTCAGTGCTAATGAATAGGTGGGGAGTTTTGTGCAAAATTATCAAATAAAACGGGTAGCCGACCACACAATTACACACAATATTTTCGCACACGCACCCGAAACGGAAGCCGTATAAACAACATGAACATGAAATTTGGCTGCTGAAAGCATGTATATGTATAGCTTGTGGAGGAATGCACTATGGGGCCGGCGACTACTTTGCTTGGTCAAATCGCATTTTTGAGAAGTCAATTAAAACAAAAATGTTATTTTACGATGCATAAACATTAGACCATCTGCGTTACGTTGTTACGTAGGTGCTTTTGCTAAGATTACATCTGTTCAGTGGCGGATCTAGGATTTTGTTGTGGGGGGTGATATCAGAAAGATTTTTTTGTTGCATACTTTTTGAATACCAAAATTACTTTCCTTTTTTACACGAGTGTTGGTGATATTTCACCCATTCATCTTGAAAATCAGTTTTGAATTTAATTCTTTGTCGGCTGAACTCGACGTTTTGCTTGCACTTTTAATGTGCTTAGAATTATAGTATGTTTTATATGTTTATGTTTTTATAATTCAAAGACAACTTTTTTAATTGCATGAAAAGTATAATGCTGTATTCTAAATGTTTATGTGCTTACACGGAAAGAATCCATTATTTTTTTTGTAACTATAATTTATTGCCAAAAGAAATTGTTGTCTAACCAAACTAATTTGTCTGACTAAAGGGATAAAAATGACCAACAACAAAATTTTGTTAGTAAAAGTCTTTCTTAACTTCTGTGCATCTATCTCCCAAAGCAGCTTACTTTATCTGATCGTTCATATGGCAGCTATTTGATAAGTGGTCCGCTCCGGACTATTCTTATACGTAACATGCGTAGGGATAAAAAAATGAATTGAGCGAGTAATTAGTTTTTATCCAACAAAAGTGGTCGATGGCCCCATGGTGGAGTGCCTTCCAATAAGCGACATAAAATATGCGAGGACACACACACTGGCGCACGGCACGTGAACCAACATCAACACATGCACATGCGGATGAAGCGCCCGCAGTGAGTGCGGGAAATATTTTATGCACTTTATGCGGCTTGGACGGCGCTTGCTGCTGGGGATCGCTAATTAGGCAATATGCACTTGATTGTGTTATAATCATTAAAACCGGAAATGCATGGGCAACCCACATAACACAAACGAGCGCAAACTCTCAGCCACACGCACAGACGCACACACATGCATATGCTGTCAGGTTGCTGGGGGAAAAAATGTTTTACCAAAGTTTTGCATTTCCATTTTAAAAGCAACTACTCGGGGGGATTTTGTTAGTTTTTCCATTTATTTTTGAACAAATGATATCGTGAACATTAATTAAGTCTTGAAGAGAATCTTTAAAGGTCCGAAAAACGCCCTGTTCTTGCCAAAAATGACGGAAAGTCACATCAATGGCCACGCCGGAAACGGAAGTGGGGGCAAGCAAACACGTGTCGGAGAAATGTCTACTTGCAACAATGTTGGTTTGTTAGTATGTGTGCGTCAATACACTTACACACACGCCCTCTCAGCAGGCGGCCGTATTGCATATGTAAAGCGGCTTGTAAGCTGGCCAATTTTTTATGCATTTATGCATTTTCCTCCCTGCTGCAGCTGCCACCCACCCGCTCCCTCACTCCCTCCTTCTCGCCCAATGGCCGTTTTTTATTAAAGTTGCCCGTTAAGAAAAGCGCAGAAACCGCATCAACAACCCACCACACCCCCTCGGCGAGCTGTTGCCCACGAGCAAACGCCTTTTTGTAGGTTAATCAAATGCAAGACGAGGAAAATGCACAAGCTGCATGGCAGTGGGAACATGATGCTTCTGGCCAGTTAGTGCGAGCGGGGCGTTGGAGCAAACATTTTGCCATCTTTTTGTATACGCATTTCGCATGGCTTGTTATATTAAAAGAAATTTCCCAACCGACGAGAGACAGGACGAAGAAAAACAAGTAAGCGTCATGGCAACTGACAGCCAAGATGGACGGGGCTGTGATTTGATTTTTATTCCGGGCGATGCACAACAGCATCTGGCACTCAGTGGACAGATGAATTATTGCAAATGATGTAAGCGCACGCAGAGGGTGTGACTCTAATTAAACACTGAAAATGTGTTCATATATCTTAAGTCCTGAATATGACAGATTCATTCAGAGAAGTGACGATCTTCATTTCGCAGCGTACTTTTAGGTACACCTCATTTGCTTTTTACCATGCGCACTACGGTAATGTCTACACCTTTTATATTATTATATTAAAAAGAAGTGGCAATTCTAATAAAATTCATTTTACAAAAATTAAATACTCTACAAAATTTGGATTGCAAATTTTAGAAAGTGTATTCATTTTGTGGAATGTATGTATAATATTTCTTCATGACCGCTCTTAAAGCCTCACTAAGAAATCCGTTTAGTTTTTTAGCTTTTGTTTGGTGTATCCTCGTTATGATCGGAGCATAATAAGTATTTTAAACTTTAAAGCTCAGAATTAAACTAAATTGAAAAACAACGTCAAAAAATTGTGTTTCATATGACGTTTTTGTTTTGGACGACTTTTTGTTGGGTTGAGTACTAGCCCTAGTGCTTTAATGCCCTGCTAAACACTTAACCTCGCAAAAAGTTCTCGTAATTCTCTTGTCGCTTGGTGGTTTCATTTCTTATTTACTGCACATTATAATGACGTTATTTTATATCTTAGTACCCTCTGCAAGGGTATAAAACGCGATTTGCTATGTTTTGTGTCGATAGCTTTTACACTGAGCAAAATTCCATTTTAGGGCTGGAGTTCAACCTAACAAAAAGTTGTCCAAAACATAAAAATTTACCGAAGAAAATTTTATTGTAATATGAAGGTTTTTGTTTTGTAAAACTTTTTGTTGTACAAAACATAAAACTTCCTAGAAAAAAACCCAAGAATTTTTTTTTTATATGTAGTTTTTTTTATGACTTTTTATTAGGTTGAATACCAGCCCTTACCATAAGTTTTAAAAATAATCTCTAAAAAACGCTTCTAACGGTTTATGGTCAATTGACACTAATTTATCAAATTACAAGAAAGGATTAGGTAAAAAGATAAATGAACTATATCAGCTGAGCTCCAAAAATGTTTATATTGGCATAAAGTGGTAGTGGGGACTAAGCTTAATTTAATGCCATTTTCTGCATATTACCAGCGACAGTTACCGAATTCCAGAAAGAAACCAACCGGAAGAGAACCCCCACCATTCCAGGTGACACAAACAAGCCCTTTATTTGGCATTCTGCTGCAGTTTTTGACACGCGACTATAGCAAAACGTTTCTAAAAAGAGAATGTCAAATAAAAAAGGGAAAAGACTGCGGATAAGAGAAAAATTCAGAAGCAAAAGAAATCGAGGAAAAATATGGATGCGGACACGAAGAACTGTTATTAGTGAGTGTCCCAACTATAAGGTAGCTGCTCTTCGTTAAAATAAAACCAAATTGAGATTTTTATAATTTCTTAGAAAGGTTAAGTACTATCAATTAAATATCTTTAAAAAATATTTATTAAATAGTAAATAATTAAATATAAATCTAAAATTCAAAATTCTGAAATAAATAAAATTTATATCCCCAAGTGTAAATATTTAAAGTCGCAGGAAACAATATAATAATATTTGATTGCTAAAATGCCATATTGATCGGTACAGAAATATACCCTAGTATACCCTCCTCTAGTAGCAGGTACAGGGTCCAGAGGGAGATATCATTTGTTATTTCATTTCCAAAGCCAGACAGCGGAAAAGCCCGAGAAAGCAGGAATGCCGTGGATTAGCAACTGTCATTGACAGTTGGAAATCATAGACGCCATTTAGCTGGCTGCAAATTGCTGGCCGCATTTCTTTGTTTGTCATTTAACGATTGACAGCTGGCGATAAACAGAACGAAACAAAATGAAACGGCACGGAGACCTGGCCAAGACAAAGGCAGCCGCCACACAATAAGCGAAATGAAAACATTCGAAGGTAAAACACCTCCCACCCATCAAATGGAAATGTTAATGGCGCAACCAGGCCCACCAACCATTGAGAAGGTGTCAATTGCCCTGACTTTATACTTGGGCCAAGATTGCCCAGTTTGCCTGGGCATTCGGTGTTCTGTCTTGGCCAGGCTATTTATCATTATGACGTTGGTGGACCTGGCCGGGCTGATTTGCCTTGGGAGCAGCAGATGGGTCTCCGGGTCTCTGAGCTGTTTACCAAAGATAACGAACCGATGAACGGAAGAATGGCCAGGCGTAATGCGATGCTAATCCCGGCTTGAGTGCACTCACTTGGGATTCTTCTTTAAAGGGGGGATATCACTCATAATTTGGTGCATTCAGTTATATTTGAAATGAAAAAGAAACGTAATTACAAACGTAATCTAATCCACAACCATTCCAACACTGAAAAAATCGATATAAATTAGAGCCAATTCTACCTTATTTCATATCAATAAAAAGCCTAAATAATTTATGTCAAATTTATGATTCAAACATATCAACTTGATTTTATCATATCAGTTCATTAAAATTTAATAATACTTTCCTAGTATCTTTTAAACAAATAATGTAAAATAAGATTAACATAATTTTTGTTCATACAAAAATTATTTAAATAAATGGATATTTGTGAAATTTTTTCTATAATAAAGTTGTCAAATTTTATATGTTTTTATTATCCAAATTCATTAAATTACTTGCGTTTTTAATAATATTCTTACATTCAATTATTGTTTGTTATCAAGTTTTTTCCTTACCATTCTCACAAAAAAAACTGCGAGTAAGTCACTGGATTTACCAGTCCCTCATCTTTCTCTGGTTTTTACTCGCTTTCGCCCATAAATGTCAAGTCAACTCGCTGGCCACCTGTCATCCCGCCACCTCTACGTGAACGTTACCCCTTCCGGCTCGGTTGTTATGCGGCATGTCAGCCATTTAAGCCAATTTATTAAATAAGACGGCATTTGTCACATTTCGTTCAAGTTTTCAGCACACCGCTGTGTTATCTCTTTTATTAGGACCATTCTCTTTACACTTTCACCCTTTTTTGCCACTCTTTGTGACCGTTATCTTTATGATTTTTCCAGCGAACAGTCGCGTCGAACAATGCCATTAATGGCCGAGGGACACACAAAGGTGACAAAGCCCCAAAAAAAGAAAACAGAAAAAAGAATAATAATAATAACAGAATTCAGCCCGGCATTATTATTTTTGTTATTTATTTCCACCTGGTCAGCTGATTATAAAACAGCAAAATGGGCAGCGGACAAGGATGATCAACGGCGGCAGCATAAAGCCGATACTAGCAATATTAATAACGGAAATGGCAGACCCTTTTCCGACCCATCGATAAAACGTCAGGGCGGAAAATCATGACCAGGGATCTGACCGCAATTAGTTGATTGCCAGCACTCAATTTCTTCAAAGATGGAGAGTGCTTTCAATTTCATAAGCGAGAAGACGCCCAACTCCTTCTCCTTCTCGGTATCTGTCTTTAGCCATCTCTGGCACTTACTATGGGCCACACTCGACGGGAAATTAAACTTGTCCAAAAGTTTAAATGCCTTTCTGCCGCTTTCCGTTGCGTTGCGCTTGACTTTTGTTTTCAAGTTTCCTCAGATCCCCCATTGGCCTGCTCGAGTCTCGAATCTCCTCCCTTCAACCGAGTTTCCCCTTCTCTAAGCTTGGGTGGAGTTTTCTAATACGGCCGCTCCCAGCAATTAAAAAAAGCTCCGGCCTCAGAATACAAAACTTATAAAATGATACATATAGTTGGGACCTTGTAATGGGCATGAAGGGTTAAAACAGGCCTCGAAGAGGGGGGCAAGTACATACAAAACCGAAAAGGACTTGTGGTTTGGAAATGTTGCATTCTGCTTATGTGGTGGTAAATGAAGCACGTCAAGTTACCCATCCGCCTCGTTGGCTTGCCTCAATTGAATAAACTATTTGCATCCTTCAAGTGCCTCCTTGACTCCCGTGACCCTGAGTCGAGGTTGGAGCCAGTTAAAATGTCAGCATTTGAAGAAAAGGAAAGATTCCTGTTGGGCTGGCTACGGTTTTTAAGCGTCGACTTTTAAAATTGTTTCTATACATTTTTATTTTATATTTTATATTTTAATAGATTAAGATATCATTATAATTTTCATTCGTGTTCTTACAATCAATAATATAAATATTCCAGTGAAAATATATATTTTATAATTATTCTGTATTAAGTGTTAATTGTCACTTCGAAAGGCTTTCAGCCTTTCAGCACACTTTGTTCCCTGTTAACAGCTTTTCCACCCGCGTTCGGCCTGACATAAAATCCTGCATAATGTATGAAGACAAAAACTATGGCAACCCAGAGAGTTTAGGGACTGAATGGGTGCATTAATAATGAAATTATATTTAATAATAAAATGATAAACAATTACTGCTGCACAAAAGACTGGGGAAGCGGGCTGAAAATGGAGTATAATAAATGCGTTAAATAATTAAAGGCATGCCACTCATTTGCGATACATACGTTACATACATTGAACATTGTTTTTTCCTTTTTACTGTACAACATCCGCAGGGGCCTACAATTCTGGTTTATCATCTGTAGTAATGCATTGGAAATGCTTTCCAACTTCTCGGCCCAGGGCTGAGCAAAACGATGTGCATAAATATTTGAGAATTACGCCAAATCGAAAGTGAAGCTAGAGTCGGAATCCTAAGAGAAGAAGCCAAGTACCGGAGCAATCAGAGCCAAACAATTACGGAGGAGGACGAGGAGAGAGCGAAAAGGAATAGCCCGGACCGGCGCTAGCAAATAAAAATGAAAATTAAAATATTTCCGCTGACAGCGGAAGCAGCGACGATTGCCGCGCGTCGCCAGCAGAAACAGAAGCGTGGAAACGCGGGGAAACTGCAGCGGAAGCGAAAAATGCCGGAAATATCCTCACGGCTAATTGTTGCCACTGCCACCGCCGCCGTAGCCACGATAATCTGTCTGTCCTTCTCGCTCTCCGTCTGCGCCGCCCAGGAGAGCGACGACGAGGGCGAGCTGCACCACCTGGAACAGATGCACCACCAGCACCAGGACTTTATCATCGGCGAGTCCGAAGAGCACGATCATATCGCACACCATTTGGGTATGTAACTAGTCTAGAAACAAACTTTTCCTCTAGTTCAGAGTGATTCTAAGTAGATATTTCTGACCTATGGCACTCTGTTACAAAGAAACCCTACTCACTTACCTCGATAAACCCTTTATGTTCTTATTGACTGAAATGATCAATTTTCAATTTCATAAGGATCCAGAAAAAAAGGGTCTTTAAGTTGGAAAAATCCTGACTTTCGCCATATTTCAACTAAAATTTGGGGCTAAAATATTGTCAAAAACAGCAATACTCAATTATATGGTCTTTTTCTGAGAACTAAAGGGAGAATCTTATCCAGCAGCGTTAAAATCTGACCCCTTTCAGCAATTGAGAATATTATAATGAAGCTTTCCCATTTTTGAGCTTCAAAATAAAAAAAAAAATTACAATTTTACCAGTATTTTAAAAAATGTACCTTAGTGATAATAAAAGGCAATAATTTCTTTGAAAAACTTTCAACCCGCACAAGTAATTTGGAGGTTTAATTTGGATCTCGGTCGCGAAAGAGCGCTGCTTGTATAATAATATTTTGTAAACAATATTTACATATTTTATAAAAGCACACATTTTCCATTAGCAAATAAAATGGATGATGAATCAATGAATTCTTCAAATTCGTGTATTCAACTGCTTTGGCAGCTGTGTGCCGGTCGCAAGGTCAACTTTGACGCCTTTGCCAAGTGCTAACAAAAAGTTTTGAGTGGCTTAAACTCTGCTCCCTCGCCAAAGCTATCTGGATGTCATTTGAAGTGAATTATGTGACTGGCAGTCTGACCGGTCCCAAAAAACAGCTTGGCTCATTGAGCACATATTGGGATGGGCAGGGTACGTCCTTCGTACACTAAGAGTGGATAAACGCTGCGGGGGTGGAGAAAGGGAGGGGAGGCCAGGAGCAGGAGCACGTGCTTGGTTAGCTTTAGTGGCTGTTTAAGTTGTCATTGTCCGCCCAGAGCCCACAGCATAATTAAGGGGCACACATGGCGTATGCGTATTCTGGCTTACTCCCGACCTGACACACGCCTTCTCCCCGTCTTGTGGTCTCTGCATCCCGGGCATACACCACACACACACACACACACAGAGAAGTGACCACTTAAGTTTCCTTTGTCTATAGCATGTGGGCAACAAGCTGAATCCTGCGCCTTCGCATCCGCAATCCTCCCTCCTGCTCCTGCCTTCTGGTAGGTCGGCTCAACAAGTGGACAAACGTTGACATTGCACACAATGTTCAACCTCTGAAAATATATTCTCTTCCTCTGCGAATGTGTGTGTGTGTGCCTGCGCCTGTGCTGGTGTCTACTTATGACAAAAAGTGATTGACATTGTGATTGATGGCACTTTGGGTCGTCAGTTTCTGGGTTTATGACTTGACATGATGACCAACTATTCCATTGTGTGACCCATGAATTTTTTGCGAAAAGGGTTTTGAAGTGAAATGAGTCTCCTTTTGGCTGTCGGGGATTCGCAAATGCGTTTGTAAAGGGCTTTATTAGTTGATTTATTCGGAATGCTTAACAGATGCATACGCGTTACACGTAGAGTAAGTGGGTATATATTTTTTTTGATTACTTATACCTTTCGAAATGTATAAGACAATTTTAGATCGAACAATCCAATAAAAAGTTATGAGCAAAAATGTAAACAGCCGCTAGATGGTGCCAGTAGCTTACAGACTGCATATCTCCATCTCCCTTGGACTCTCTTAAGCTGAGTAACGGGTATCTGATAGTCGATAAAGTTTTGGAGATATTTTTGCGTTTGGTGTCACTAAACCACAATTAGCTTTTTATCTCGTGACTGAGCTTAGCTGAGTAAATTTTAACTTAAGTATTATCTACTCAAATCGTTTTCCTCTGTTAATACGAATTTTCAACCATTCTATATACAGACTGTAAAGCACTATGGTTATCACATGCATGAAGGCATATCTATTCTGAAATTGGATAAGAGAGTAACGGGTATCTGATACTCGAGGCACTCGACTTTAGCGTTCCTCCTTGTTTTCAGCTGAAATTGCCGCTGATGTGCCAGCAATTGTTTGACAATTTTTCAACAATTCCCACCGACTGCAAAAATTTGTCGCCCTTCTATGTCAATTCCCTTTTATTCGCGGCCATTTTCCAGTTGTCTATTCCTGTGTGTGTCTGTGTTTGTGTACGTTTTTGTGCGTGTTGGCTGCTTTTTTTCACACGCTTTCGCGCTGCAACTAAAAGTATGCAGGACTTTTTCGCGCTGCCAGGACTGGCAGGACCTGCAGCCAAGCGTATGAGCTGCCGAGTGGAGCGGTAATCAAAATGGGGTGGTGAACAATCACGGGGGCTGTTGGCCTTTGAGGCTGTGTGTGTTGTCGTTTATTTGCCTTAGTTCTTGTAATTTGTGTTTTATGTTGTCCTGGCCCCACTGTTGTTTTTCTTTCCGTTTGCCGTTGGGCTTTTTCGCCGTTGCTCCTGGCGAATACTTGTTTAAGCTACAATTTTTATTTCCGCTGCCCGTTTGAAGATGCCTTTGTTGTTGATTCTGCTTTTTTTTTTCCAAATGCTCAGTCAAATTTAATATTGCCTTGTTGATTTTTGGCCAACGGACTCCCTGGGCACCTTGACAGACATCAAAAATGCCGCTCAGCTCAATTAGCCAAAAGTTTCAATTTTCTGAAATAAGTAGGTAAACTGAAATCGCGAATGAGGGTTCGTTCTGGGAACTTCAGCTCTTTGGTGGCCGCGGGAAATGCAAGAAAGTTGCAACAAAGTAAGATCAGGTTGCTCACCTTCGGGGACGCCACATCACGTCTGCCGAAGTTGGCTTAGAAACTTGGCCAGCGGGAGATTGATGACCGGGCCGTGAAGGTGTTGCGCGCTCAGATAAGACGCAGCTGGATTAAGGGCCCTTCTCATTCTGCTCTGTGTAAATTCGGCTAATTGGAATCATTAGCCGGGCCAAGGCAAACACTTGCAAACAGCGGGGAAAGCCTTGGGAATCATAGACAAATTTGCGCAAATTCCGGGCAGTTGTTGACACCTCCCAAAATGATAATCCGGTTCCTGTCTGGCAGGCCAATAAATCATCTGGGCCGCCGGCAGACATTGAAGGAGAGTTGGCTTAAGTGCGTTAGGAAAATCAACAGCGGCTGTCTCTGGCAGCAGGTGCTCAGCTTCTCAGACGACGACGGATACGGCCCTTCCACCGCAAATAAAGTGGAGCATATAGCGAGATTCGCCGAGTAACAAGAAAAAAAACAGGGCCTAAAGCTTCGTTCGCGTTTTTGTTGCATAATTTTCGATGCTCTGGCAAAATATATATTTTCATTTGTTTGCCCTTGTTTTTTTCAGTTCTGTTTTGGCTACGCCTTCGCCGTGTTTGGGCTGTTCCTGCTTCCTGTAACTGCGTGTTCCCCTTCCGGTTCCGCACCCGCCCCGCCCCCTTCCCCGCCCCCCTCAACTGCCACATTGTCTGCCAGCGACAATGTTCGGATGGGAAATTTAAGGCATATTTCTTGGCGCTGGGCCGCGGGAAAAATGGCATAATAAATAAATCTACTTTGAATTAGCGCCATTTACTTTACATTTATTCTCTGCCGCCGTGCAATTTATAGCGCTCAACGCACTCTTCCCATAGACTTCTCTGCCGTTCTTTTTTATTTGAAGATATTTTTGCGTTTGTTGTTTCTGTCGTTTCAATTTGGCGGCGCGTGCTTTTTGGCTAATGAAGTTTTGAGGTTAGACAGCAGGAAAATGGGGAGCCGCCTCGAGGTGTGCAGCTAAGTGGACATGAAATGCGGCTCGCTTTAAGATTTTGAGCAATATATGTTATTTAAATCAGGGAATAATTGGCATTTTCTGTGTTTAAGGAGAATTGAAGCCGGTAATTTTGCTGATACTTAATTCATCTTGATAATTCAGCGCCATTGCTTTATTTTGTACAACGAATTTTAAAGTTCATCAATTGCATGAACAAAATGGTTTAAATTGGTTCAGTTATTATTGTGATGTTGCGAGATTTGAGCAATTCAGACATTGTTATTTAGTTGGATAAATTACTCAATTGTCAAAATCACCTGGTTCGGCCAAAATGCAAGACCGAATTTGCGAGATATTTTATTTCTAATAAATTAAAACATGTCTTTCATTATATGCTCGGATATTGCATAATGCTTCAATGGTTATTAATTATGAAAGCAAAATAAAATAAGAAGGCTATTAAGGTACACAAAAAGCAAGAAGCAATGTAAGCGACAAACGCTTAAAGTTTCATGAGTGGGAGGATGAACTGGCCTGATTTTTAGTATATTTCAAGCATATCGAATTGAGGTGCCCGCATGTTAAAAATGGTAAAATTGTTAAGTTAAGTTAAAATTGATACCACATAACATTTTTTTTTTTTGGTGTAGATAGTTTCTGGGCTTCAAAGTCTAACTGAAAATGGCAGACAATATTTCCTCTGAACCTCGATTCCTTATCAAAGATTCAGACATGCTAGTGCCCCCTTGCGTCTGACTCAAAATTGCCACAGAGTTGTAGGCAAGAAAATCCCCAACATCCTAGACTCTTTCTCCCCGCCCTTCATTAAGTCTCGCTGTGAACCTTTCACGGTCACGTCGTATTGCCTGCAAATCACGTCATACTGAGCACAAAAAGAGCAACAAATGCAGACCAGAATAGGGAACTTTTTGGGCAACTTTCGGAACACTTTCTTTCGTCTTTCGGCTTTTTCCGTGTGCTGTCTCAGGCGGAGGCACGTAGTAATCCCTGGAAACATTTGTTGGCCCGCTCAATGCGTTTTCCATGTCTGCACATGGACCGAAAGCCACAAGAAGCGAGGAATTCACTGGCATGTTGCGGAGAAATGGGAAGTGACGGGGGCCTGCAAGTATGCAACACAAAATATTACAAACAGTCGCATACAAAAGTTGCTAGCCAGCAGTTGATTTTTGCTTGCTTCCCCCTGCATCTCCCCGATTTGCCAACAATTTCCCGACTATACGTACCAGAAATCGAATTTATTGCACACTCTTGTGCGTTTGCGGCAGCCACAAAATGTATTTGCATTGCCAGCCAGCTGCGACAGATGTGGGAAAAGTCGGAAAAGCTGGGAAGAGCTCCGCCTGCCCAGTTAGCATGTGCCATACGTTTATTAAAATGCAAACGGTTCCGACTCCAGAAGACGCAACACGAAAATTAATTGAAAATTCAACGTCCTTTCCTCCGATCTAAACGTCTGTGCCCTGGCATTCAATTCGCCTCGGTTCCCGTCCTACATCTATAACGAGTTGGAATCCATTTGCGCTATTGACTCGTCTGTCTGCACGCACGGAGACACGCGTTCAAGGTCTCCCCGGTTATAGATGACATTATTTTATGGCGCAGTCCGGAGTACCCGGAAAATGCGATACAAAAGTATGTGTGCCAAGGTGCCGGGCCAAATGGAAATGGAAATCAATAACAAAATAGTCGGCGACTTGGGAAAATATCATTTTTCTTTGCCGAAACAACCAACTTACTTTCCTTTCGAACAGAAAGCTCTTTAATAAATTTTAGCCCCTGGGGAGCCAATCTATTTGCTATTTAAATCGTCAGTTTGTAATTTTAAATATAATTTAAATTTTCCCAAATGTTGTAAATTCATTGGCTTGCTAATTAACTTATCCGATTCCTATTTACACTGGCCAAATTTCCCCAAGGCTACCGGCCCTGCGGTTCGTGTTTCCACATTCGCAGCGCGACCTCATAAACGTAAATCTATTTACCCATTTGCTGGCATTTGCTAAATATTTTATGACGCGTGCCTGAAAATGCATTTCACCTGTTAGCTGTGGGGAATCGAAAACCCGAGTACCTGAAAACCCCCTTTAGCCCGCAATCGATTTCAGCTGCTCCACTGATGCAGCTGCACAAAAGTCAAATTGCAACTTCATTTTGTGGCTGTGAAAATTGCAAGCCGAACGTCGGCAAAGAAAGGCGTTGAAAAAGCGACCTTAAAATATTGGAAAAGTTCACGAAACGAGAAGTCTTCCTTTCCCTTGGTATTCCGGGCGTGTTGGGTGCGGTTTTTGGGGTTTTTAGCTTGCCAATTTCAGGGGAGTGCGAACAGGCGGGGTATCTGTTTATATTCCTTACACACTCCGCACCGCAAATTGAATTTGCACTAAGGATAACCAAGCCAATATTAACTACCTCTCTAAATGTACACTTTCTCCCTCTCCTCGTTTCATCTCGATTGCACTGGATGAACTCTCGACACTTTTCATGCCTTGCCGGCACTCGGAATGAAATCTCGCAGCGGAAATGCAAAATAAGGATGAGCTACTTGAGGACATACGCGAGGATACGGTCGTCAATGCGATACCCGAGAAAGGTGAGTCAGTTGCTCTTTCAGCTCATCCCCCTTATCACCCGATTGGCCATGTCACACGACTTGAATTTCCATATACACGGCGAGCGAAGGGGTCTCCAAATGGATTTTCCATTCCTGCGAAGGGCACCTTGGCTTAAACTGCATGCTTTACCGATACGATAGTGCTCTCGAGTGCCTCATTTAATTTAAGTTATTTTATTATGTATTTTCTGGACAGTTGCCATTGAATGATTTCAAGGTTGAAACTAATCATTTATTTAAATATTTTGCAATTTGGCTCAGAGCCAAGTCAAGTATTAAAGGGACATTTTCTCGTCCGCATGCTTAACTAAAAGTAGATTTTACATGTAGAATCTTTTGGAAATTTAGAGTTTAAAACCTACTTTTAGCTAATAATGCGGATGAGAAAACGAACCTAAATGTATTTATTTTATGCTATTTATTTTTAAAGCTTCGCACAGATAATTTTATTTGATTTTGGTTTTTAATATTTACTTTTACAAAGATCAGGTAATATTTGGCAGTTTCGTTTGAATGTTTTGGTTTTAAATTAAAACTATATGACCTAAAATTATATTGGAATTCTATTTTGAGACTATATACCATTATCCGCGTGCACCCATAAAATAAAAATTTCTATTATAAAATATCTTGATAAATCTGGGTTGTGATATTTAAGTAATGTTCAGTTTTGCAAAATGTAGAGTGAGAAACCCAAGGTCACCTTAGCAGAGCAAGGTTAACTTAGCAGAGCAGTTAACTCAGAAACAGTAATTAAAGTGACATCATTCCTAAGCACCTGCCGATTGATTCCCTAATTATGAATATTAAGTGTAATTAATTGTCAGCCCGACGGGCACATTCACCTGAGCTCCCAGCTTTGCCGTTTTTATATCACTTAAACTTATCCCCAGTGTCGTCACGTGCTCAGTTCTTGTCAGTATCCAGCGTCCACTCCCCGTTCTCCCGTCCCCTCAAACGGCGCCATTAAGTCAGTCGCTTTCCCCGCGCTTTCCCTGCTTTCCCTGCATTTTCCCATCCACCGAGTGTCTCTGAATACGAGTTGCTTTGCTCTTGTAGCAGTCTTTTTGCTCGCTTTTAAATTTTATTTATTGTAAATTGTATTTGAAACGTGCTGAGGTTCAGTTTTCTCTGCAGAGAAGACGGCGGACAAATGTCAAGCTTGCCCTTGGCATGGATATGGGATATATACACATATGTATGCTGGATATGGGGTATGGTATAGGGGAAATGGGAGAAAGTATGGCTGCTTGCATGGGTATATCTCGAGCACATCTCGTGCGAGTGTGTTAGTGTGTCGTGCAACTTAATAGAGTTGTTTAGCATTTAAATAGCGCCATTTACTTGTTGTTGCTGGATGTTGCCTCTGGATGTTGCCGTTGCGCTTATTAAGTTGAAATGCCAGTCAAGTCGACTTGACTTAATAAAGTTGGCTTAAAGCGGCGTAAGGAAAGTGGCAAATTGTGCCTAGTGAGCTTGAGAAAGTGGTCCATTAGGCACTGGCAACTCAGCCAAAGTAGTTTATAATACCAAATGGGAGTAGCCCTGCTTCCAAAATGAGTTGTGAATCTTTCGAGTTTCGAATAACATCTGTCATGGGCACTTTAAGTTGTCCCAAGCGAGCTCAAAGGTGTGGAACATCCCTCCAGCTGTGTTATTCCAAGACTCTAAGCCTCCAAAGAACAGGCCCTAAACGGCGATTTGCAATGTCTTTCCCTACATCATAAACATTATGCTAAGCACCCAGCGCCAAGGGATCCCAAGCGTTTATCCACTTCAGATACAAAGCAAATGCCCATTAAATCCTAATTTCATATGCCCATAAATCCACTAAACAATCACACTTTCAATCCCGGAGACGAAGCGCAAAATATGTAACAAATTTCACATATTCACACACGACCGCCTTGCGAAGAAAGTATGTCATAAAAGCCCCCACTCACGCAGGCATATCCTTATATCCTTATTGTGTTATTGTGTGCATCTGTATGTATCAATAAGCGGAGGCAAATCAAATGAGTTGGCAAAAGGCGGCAGACGATGACGAAACAGTTCGCAGGGACCGCCCCTTTCGTCTTCGACGAATCGAAGCCTGTGTAATCGAGCTTATTAGTGGGGGCTACTTGGGACTCGGTTCCATTATTGTTATCAAGTGAGGCGCACGAGATATACGACATGATAGCTAAGAAATGCTCTTACACATTTGATCTGCAGATTAAGTTCCCAAGGAGAAATTCACGGGTGACATAAGAAAAATTCAAATAATACCGATACAATAAACGTAAAATAACGGATAATATATAATTTGCATGTCCTATTTGGTAAGCTGTAGTACAAAATAGACTACTATATTTAAAAAAAAAAAAAATAATTGAAGGAAACCGCTAGCTGACTGACCAAAAAGCGAAGGAAAAATCGAACATTTCGTTTTGATATGTACAAGTTTTAGCATGCAGAAATAATAACGAAACTGACCTTCCTGCGTGATGTACACGGCAATCCATTTAACGATTTAGAACCTTAATGGCCCTTCTCTTCCTTGTTCCGAATGTAAGAGATCCGACATGAATTTCCCGAGTGATTCCCTACGAAATTTCTGTCCGCCAGTAAAACGACTTCTAACCGGTCATTATCCAGCGTAAGTAAGGGTATCGTTGACAACTCGAAACGTGATGTTCAGGAAGAGATTAGGCGACAATAACCAGCGGGATGGGGACACGCAGAAGCGACAGGCAGAAAGTTGGCCCTTTCCCGGCCTTGCGCATTTTCCCCGCCGCAATTGAGATTTACGGCCGCATCAATAAACATCAAAAAATTCGCCCCGCCACTTTCTTGGCCATCACCCTTGCTTATCGCCTTGTTTACGCATTTTAAGTACAAGATTGTTATGTGTTGATTTGCCTTAACCGATGCGTGCCCCGCATATGAGAAAAAGCCTCCGTCTGGCCGGGTTTTACTTGTTTTTCCCCCCATACATACATGTATGCTTTCGCTTTATTTTATTTTATTATTTTATTCTGAGCGCAAACTTCGTTGAGGTTTTCGAGCATGTCAGCGACAAACAAGAGCAAACAGAAACACAAACATAAAGCAGCGGCGTGAGGCGGCTAAGTTTTAAGATACCGTCCTCAGTCCCCAGTTTTCCCCCGTCCGCTCAACAAGCAGCTAAACCACAAATCTGTTGCATACTTGCGGGCGCGCCTTTAAAGTCAACGCGCTTTTCCAACGCTTCGCTGAGCATTCGCCCGAATGTGGGTGGTTTGGGTGTGTGGGTGGCTAGGTGGGTGGGTGGTGCGCAGGGACTTTGATTGACTGGTTGAGAACTGGCTGACAGGCCAGTCTAGGCTACGATTGTTGATGTTGATGTTGACGTGGGTTATGCTAAACGCGACGGAATGGTTTCCAATGATATCTGATCTCAGTCAGGGATCCCCAATTAAATCAAATTAAATGCAATATTCATTAATTTCCATTAAATTATTTCGTAAAAGCTTCAGGCCACCGTATTACTCAATTTTTATACGAACATTTTTATACCACATAAACCTCTGATTGTCCGAGTTCGGTTTGGCCTCAATTCCACTTGATTTAAGTTGTACTATTTACGCACTATTAAATTAAATCAATACAGTCGTATCGTATAAGGTATCGCTTCGAATTTTAAATTCATAATACTCATATATACTCGTAAAACTAATAACACTCAATCAGCACGTTGTTACGATAGCCGAATTATCTTAGAAAAAAGGCTCTTAACTTAAACATGACCTACATAAGTTAAGCTCCCCTATTCTAAGACAAGTTAGACCTTGGTTTATATTAATTTGGCGCAACAGCATGCATAACTTAGGAGGAGTTGCTCTTTTTTGTCCATTCGAAACAAAGGTAGATACAGATGTTTCAACCGTCGAATATAGGAAACAACCTGATATGTACCTTGTTTTAGATTAGATTAAGAACAAGTCAGTGCTTATTATTTCCTCCTCTCTTGCAGATCTTCCCAAGTTCGGAGAGCTCTTGCAGAATGTGACGGTGCCCGTGAGTCGGGAGGCTATCCTTCAATGTGTAGTCGATAATTTGCAGACCTACAAGGTGAGTTTGGAACGCATTTTTCTTCGATTTACACTTTGCACTTTAATATTATAAGGGTAAGTTTATTTTAAGTAATAATTAGTGGATCCATTTAGTTGTTGTCTTAAAAATATTTAATTTAAAAAATAATATTCTTCACAATCTATCTCAAAATTAAAATATAAGTCAGGTCCTTAGAGTATTTAGTATGTGAGTATTTTTCGGATCAGTGTGCGCTGTCAGTTGAAACCATTTGCACTTCATCGGCCGAAACGTGGCAAAGTTTCGGGGCCTAGTTTTCCACCTTTGCGTGTCGTGCTTTTGGGTTGAGTTGACCCTTTTGCTAAGCACGTTCCGGAGCCCAGGGGCGTTACTTTGATTTCGTGACACATTAAAAGGTAAACAAAACGTGAAATAAATCTCAATGAATTGCCGAAACGAAAATAGCAATGGCATATTCCTCCGTTTTGTCCGTCTGTTTTGATACCATCTAGCCAAGTTATTAGAGCCCTTTGTGCCACATTGTATGTCCAACGATGTTATCATTATCACTGTTGCGTGGGGGCAGACAAATTGAAAGCTAGTGAAATTGATGTCTGAATTGAGTGCCAGACAACAGTTTCTCTACCTTATAGCTTGGGTGCCCCGTCGAGTTGGTTGGGTTTTAAGTCGAGTTTATTTGATCGCCAGAAAACGAAGCCGAAGCGAAAACGACCTCAGTAACCGGTGATCAAAGAGAACTCGGCCCTGAATCGTTAATGGCGAGTTCCTTTAGTTGAATCAGATTTAATGCCATGCTAAAAGTGTCCCAGACCGTATAGCAATCGAAACTCAAAGCTATGCAATCAGGAATACTCAGAATCTAGCACAAAACTCGAGGTCGGCATGCTGAGCCTTGCAGTTTCTTTGAGCTATATTTCATAATACCCCCGATGACAAAGGCGCTCCGATGAAGGTCTTTATCAACCCGAGTACTAAGAATATAGAACAAAATTGAAATGAATTTAACATAAGCCTCCCGGCTGTGGCACATTTTCCACTATTTTGCATCGGTTAGGCGCATTATCCATTATCCAAAAAGCTTTCCACCTTCCCGGCGACATTTTCCCACTTGCCGCGAGCCTGGGTGTAATAAATGAGCTCCGGCCATGCCAATGGGGCATTAGCATTGGGACGAGGAAATCGCTGAACGTTTTAGTTTTACAACTCAAATCTACCCGAATATAAACGGCGGCGTCTCTAACTTGAATATACATTTTGTGTTCTCCTAGATTGCGTGGCTACGTGTCGATACACAGACCATTTTAACGATACAAAATCACGTCATAACCAAAAATCATCGCATGAGCATAACTCACGCCGAGAAACGTGCCTGGATTTTGCGTATACGTGATGTAAAGGAGTCCGACAAAGGCTGGTAATGTATCCACTATCGAGCTGCATGTTCTGATATCTACTGATATCAGATGCCCCTACAAATATGACGAATCATGGAAGGGTAGCTTAATTGCAATGCTCTTCTTCTGGCCCGAGTTATAATATCCACATCTAATACGCCTCGCTTTTAGGTACATGTGCCAAATCAACACGGATCCCATGAAGAGCCAAGTTGGCTACCTGGACGTTGTCGGTGAGTATTTGATTTAAGACTGCGTAAATACCACACAGACAAAAAATTCGTAATTTTACCTCACTTCATATCAATAAAACGTCGATATGATTAATGTTAAATTTATGATTTATCAGTTTTCTTATCAGTTATTTCAGAAAAATGATAAAAATCCTATTTGAAAATTTAGTAATTTTTGAACAAATAATAAAAAATAAGATAAGCTATATCTTTATTCATACCAAAGTGACATGAAAATGGACCTGCACATATCTGATCTTTTGTCAATTTTTTCCTGTGCATAGACCATAGTTTTTGAAATGCAATTGATGCACATACATATGTAACTCTGAAGGGAGCTCAAATGAATTGTAATTTGCCTTGAGTGGCTCGGCAAACGCTCAACTTGGAGCCGGCACAAAGTTGCTGTTGATAGTTTTTCAAATTGCACTAATTGCTCAGCCAAGTGGCGATTGGATGCAGGAATTGGGTTAGGGAAGCGCCGTTGTGCAACTTCCAACTGTGGCACTCTCTATTGGGTCTAATTGCGAAAAGAAGAAGCTCGTTTATTCGCCTTAAGCCGAGCTCCATGCCAACGGTTTTTGTTGCAAAGTTTTCACTTAACCAACACATTAGTTCGGGCCCCGCAAACAGCGGAGAGCGAAAGGTAATGAAACAATTTACATGCTACGTGCACCTGTCCCATCCACATCCCGTCCACATCCACATCCACGTCCACATCCACATCCATGTCCATGTCCTGGTCGTCCGTGTCCTGGCGTTAATTATTCAGACGGCGTAGACGTTGGAGCGGCACCGAAAAACCTCAACCGCCCTGTAGGCGAATTTAAAATGAATATGCCGCCCCGTTTCGGAGCTGGGGTTTTGTGTCTCGTTTCCGGTTGCCCCGCACCATCCGCATAAGTAACCACTCTGGTTGATTGTGTTTTCATTGATGTTGAAATTCATTAAGGACCCCAGTCGTCCTCGTCCCGATACACTGAGCACAACAGCGGCTTGCCAGGAGAGTAATTTACACACAACCGCACTAAGTCCATAAGCAAAATGGCAAGCCGCCTTAAATCAGCGCGGATTTTCCAGCTGCCACTGACAAAGTGCTCGATTTTGTGGTGTATGCTTTTCAGCGCGTTCCCAGTGCTCCACCCACATCCACATTTATCCGCATCCACACCCACCGTGCACAGCCCACCAATTCAGCCCACGCGATGGCAACCAACTATTATTGTTGTCATCGCTGTAGTAGTTTTCCACACCGCGAAATAAGCAAATAAACGGCGGCGTGAAAGTGATCAGAACTTATAAGCCAGTCCGCCGTAAATGTAAAAGGGTAAGCTGATATAAAGAGTGGATGGAAAAGGTTGGGAAAATGTATTGTATAAGTATAAGCATAAGTAGTGACCTCATCCTGAGGAGGAGCCGGATATTGCCATTACCTTAATAAATAAATCATAAATCACCTTAATCATAATATTTATGTAATTTGAACTTGAAAATCGGAACTAACTTTTGTACCTACAACATGCAGACTAAAATTTACGAAGTATATTTAGAACTAAATAAATGTATAGATTGCTTATGATAGAAACATATTAAAGTAATGAAATTAAAAAGTATTCATATAGAAAAAAGTAATTCACGCGTAAAGTAAGCTCCGATTGATCTCTGACCTGATCGGACCTATTATAATAAACATACGGAAGGCATTAATAAAAAGATGTTAATTTTGATTAAAAGCTTCATTCTAGCTTTTTTCATCACAATACAATTTGCCCTTTTTAAGGCTCCGCGTAGCTTCGATAGCACAATTTATTTATATTCGATATAAGCCAGTGCTATTCGGCAGCTAGTGTTAGGTGGTGACTAAATTAATCCTCTTTCGCCAAAAATCTCACTAAAATGCATAATGGAAAAAGAAGCGAACATCGGAAAAATACGTTGGGCAAACAAATTTGGAACAAATTTCCCGTATTTTTCTCAGATTTTCGGCGCTGAACTTTTGCGGGCTTGTTTTGCCTTGTTTGTCGGCTTGTTTGTTGTTTTTGGCCATGATTGTTTTTGTTCAGCCGTATGTATGGGGATCAGTGTGGAAGCCAGCCAGGCATTGAATAATTTATATAAAGCAATATGTTCTCTCACTGACGTTTTGCCTATGGTTAAATGGGCTTAGAAGAGTTGCACTGGGGCTGCAGAAATCGACGAGTTGATTTGAAAAGAGCTTAAAAACAGGAGAAAACGAATTAATTTTTTGATTGGTGATACTTTCAAATGCGATTGTGTTTTGTCTCATTTTTATGAATTGACCGAAAGTGTATTAAACCAGCTTTTGGGGGCGATTTTCAAATTGAATTGTTAGGCGTTAGTTCTTTAAGCTGTTAAAGACAGCTCTTATCGATAATCCCCCAATCAGTCAAACTCATATCTGCCATTTGCCGTCATCTCAATCCAATTGAAATTAATTTCTGTAGCGCCAATTTAATCACGCATCGTTTCACCTGATTTCATAACTTATCAACGCACAATAACAGCTGAGAAGAAAAGAAAGCCCACCTATTTCGCCCACCGATGTAGCGGCTATAGCTTTTTGTGACATGAGTCGGGCTATTAGGGGAAAAGTCAACACAGGGAAAAGCAGCTGGAGCGGAGCCTACATTCAATTTGTGGGACATGACGTGTACAGCCGAGTGTGGGCCGGGTGAAAAGTCAAAGTACATTTTGTAAAACATGCACATCATTGTTGGCATGGAGGCTTTGAAGTCGCATTGTGTGTGAGTCATAACTTGGCTTTTGGGTTTTTTTGGTTTTCCTGTAAAACGGAAGCTTGCGGCAGCGAGGGAAATCAAAGGAAATAAAGGAAAATCAAGTGCTGTTAATAGAGGCAATAATTCTATTTTAGGGAGAAGGGACCAAGGAAAACATACTTTTCAAAAATCTAAACAAAACTAAAAACGACTTACCTTTTTACTTATTTTTTACCCTGCTCTTGTCTTGGGTCTCTTTAATTTTCTGCCACTTTCTTTATCAGTTTGCTACTTCTACTTTTTTGGCAAGTGCAGAATAGTCGAGCGTAAAATTATAATTAATTGCAATGCACCGCAAAAGGTGCATACAGACGAAAAGCTCTTCATTTTCTATGGCATGAAAATGGCAAGTATTTGGAAATTGTCGAGCTACCTTTTGGTCTGTCAAGCGTGAAGCAGAAATTAAACATTTTATTTAATTAAGGCTTCGTCTCAACAGAAATATCGTTTTATTTTCAAAATCCCTTACAAATATTCCAGCATCCAAAATAACCCATTGACAACGACTTTATTACCTTTTCCCTCTTTCATGCCAACAACTTCATTGCCGCCAACAAACTGGATCTGAACCTGCTGTAAACTGTATGAACCCGCCGCACAATTCGCTGTCCCACGCTGCGTATGAATAATATGCCGCTTTAAAACTTTGTATCTCCGACAACGTGTGCGCACGTGTTTCGCCGGGCTTTCAGTCCCCCCCGACATACTGGACTATCCGACCAGCACCGATATGGTAATACGTGAGGGCTCCAACGTAACCCTCAAGTGTGCCGCGACGGGATCGCCAACTCCGACGATAACCTGGCGACGCGAAGGTGGCGAACTGATACCGCTGCCAAATGGGGCCGAGGGTGAGTCGCGTGCTTCCGCCGCATTAAATTTCATTACAAAACATTTTAAAGTTACTCTCCACTCGGCGGTAATTAACTCGTGTGTGCCGAGGTGTTAAGGGGGTCGCCAGCTGCTCGAATAATAACAAATCGGGGCTCCATAATTTGCTTTATTGCGGTGGATGGAAGTAAAATGGTTTGATTGTTTGGCACTTGAGCGCCCTTAATAGCTGCATGCATAGCGACTTGTAATTAAAATAAGATAAAGGAAGTGCACCAGATCAAAATCGGCTTGAGGTTTTGTTTCGACCAGGAGGTGTTGTGCTCAGAAATTTATTGCCAAATATCAAGGATTTATAGCAAACAAGATGGACGCAATAAGGCAAAGAGTCAGGATGGCATACCCAGCAAACATGTCGAATATGTGCAATTTGAATTCTACAGCTCTGCTGTCAGGAGGATTTCGCCTCAGTTGAATCCTGCCAACGTGCAAGCCATGCACTAACGAAAATACTTTTCAATAAGTGTTCTTAGAACTTAAACTGCGCTCTGAGTCTTGTGTATCTAATATTAATTAAATTCAATTTTTTCATACACCCAAAAAAAACTTGATATGAAACGATGATCAATTTGGTATTCTGTGCTATCAATTGGGACTTGATAAGCGGCATCTCAATTCGATATGCTCAAAATGTAATAACATATTTAGGCCAGTTTGAATTTCGATTGTGTCTTTCTCCCACCCACTCATAAAACTAAGCGATTTGATCCCGATGTTTTTTTAGGTGTACAATTTTGTATTTTGCTAAAAATGTTACTAAGTCAATTTAATTTGTTAAAGATTGTTATTAAGTAAGTTTACTGTAGTAGAATTGAGTTCAGAACTCATATGCTCGTAAATATGCAGTTAGAACTAAATGTAAATATGCATTCGTAAATGCAATACAGAAGCAAGCGGGTATCTTATTGTCGAGGCAGTCTACCAATGCATTCTAAAAATTTTAAATGGCACATTAAAATTCCATGGAAGACGGAATTTTCTCGTAGTGCTCTGAGATTTTCCGAGTTGCATAAGCAATGAGAACGCGATGATTAGCTGCCGGAGCAACTTGGACTCCGTGTGTGAGTGTGTGCTCGAGTATGGAGATTTTCCCCGGGCTGAGGGGGATTCCCGTGGGTGTAGACATTCCGGCTTATAAGCCGGCTGTGGGAATATGACAGCGAGCATAGATATGCCCATCGGTTGCCTTCGATATTAATCGCACTCCATCGTTCTATCTGCTCCGTATCTCCATCTGCATCCCCAGCCGTCGCCTTCAACGGATCCTTCCTGACCATCGCCAAAGTGAACCGGCTGAACATGGGCGCCTATCTCTGCATCGCCTCCAATGGCATCCCGCCAACAGTCAGCAAGCGTGTGATGCTCATTGTGCACTGTGAGTATTTGGGGCGGGGCGGGCCCATCAATTTTAGCATATTTAAATATTTATAGTTCTGCGCCAGGCACTGGCACCGCATGCCGGGAGCAGGGAGCAGGGAGCTGAGAGCAGGGTGCTCCAGACGAGACCGCAGTGGAGAACACCAAACACCAGACACAGTCACAGACTGCGACACACAGTCGCACAGCACAAAGCCCCACTCGAAATCTTGCCATGCTAAATATGCCCTGCATTTTAATTTTCCCATTGCGGGGTGGCTGGAAAATGCTGTATACTTTTTAGGTGCCAAGCATAAAGCAAATAATTAAGTGTGTGCCAGCCTCCGTTCTCCGTTTTCCCCCTCCCAGCTAGTTAGCATTTTCAGGGCACTTTGCCCGGCTCCTTCTCGCTAATTAAATAAAAATTAAAATTGCTCAACAATTTGTTAGGTAAGTTCATGGCACATATTTAAGAAGTTGCTCCGGAGAAATCCTCTCCGGTTAGCCAACCACAATTCGGTTCGGTTCGGTTCGCTTCAGTTTCGATTGCAAAGCATTTTTTGTGGCTTTGCTATAAAATTAAAAAGCAATTAGTTGGAAACAATAAATGGCAACCGCAGCGAATTGCCAAGCGGCAGCATAAAGCACTAGAAAAACAATAACGATAACGAACGGAATTTCTCTATAAATGGGAATTCTTTGTTCTCTCGAACGCCCACTCGGTTCCCTGCAATCGCTCAAACATTCCACACCTGGACGCCAAACGCCGGCCCACATATTTCCCATCAGCTTTTTATCCTCGTTCTGACGCCTGACGCTGGCATTTCTCTGCTGTTTTCCAGTTCCCCCCATGATTTGGATACAAAATCAATTAGTCGGCGCTGCCCTCACACAGAACATAACGCTGGAATGCCAGTCGGAGGCGTATCCCAAGTCCATCAACTATTGGATGAAGAACGATACGATAATCGTGCCAGGTAAGTGATTTTTTGGAAGAGTTAAAATGGGTTTGGAATACATATTGAAAAAATATTGACTGTTTGTTATTTAACTTTATTTAATATGTGTTTTTCCTTTCTATATTATCGAATCGATACTGTGAAAATATCGAGATATCGATAATATACGAGCTCTAAATTAATTCAAGGACAAACAACTTTCAGCTATCAAACTAGTAATATGTTTCTAAAAGTAAAGAACAATATATTTTTAGTCCGTAAGTCTAATCGATTCATTCATTCACTAAAGAAGGTGTCGTTATATTAAGAATTGATTTTAAAACCCTAGATGTTACGAAAGACTTTAGGCAGCCATTCTTTAAGGGCTTCGCATTTCATCAGATATAATAAGCACTTTGATGCTATTTATGGTCTTCTAAGTCTCATTCCAAAAACTATCAATGTGCCATTAAAACTTAACTGGCAGATAAGGTAACATTTCAATGAAAGTGCAATCCTGAAAGTGCTGGTTTAAAATCTTAGCAGTAAGGTTATTAATTCAATAACTATATCCCCCAACGGTGTCCTATGCCCAGTTCAATTTCAGTAGTCTCAGGTTCCACTTCGCCTCTCCGCGTCCCCCTCTTATCTAGTACGTTCAATTTAATTTTCTAAGGGCCTTTAACGATGGATGGGTCCATCTCTTCATTTAACCTCTTCAACTCTCCCACTCATCTTCACTGAGAAATGGACTGAGTGCGATGACAAAAAGTGCTGCAGAGCGGCTAGTAAAAGGCGATGGAAAAAATAAACATTCAGCCGAACACTCGAATCCGCGGTCGCAGAATAACTGCGGTGGTCGACGGGACCCCACTCACTCCCCATTCCACTTAACCCCCCTCCAACCCACTGAAGGATGGACTGGTCAGGAAAAGGCATCGTCATCGGCATAGAGGCCGGCGGAAAAAGTCACGGACATGCAGTCGCTGCGCTCTTCTTTTTTCCAGTTATTTTCAAGTTGTTTTTTGCCAGCGGAGAAAATGGAAAAAAGTGATTGAAAATGACCTCAAGTCAGAAGCAGTTGCCGGCAACTGTCCAACCGCCGTTGGATTTTTAATGGAGTTTTCTGTTTTAGTTTCGAGATAGTCATAACCGCAAAAAAACGTAACAAAAACCGGCCAAGCGAAGCCGTTTAAAGAGCCTTCTGATTAGCTGGCGAAAGTGACCGGACCGAAAGTTAGATACATACATAGATTACTCCCCGATTTCTCGGCCTCCTAAACCCAATTATTTCTAATCAAGCCCAGGACCAAAATCTACATCTCTGCTCGGGCCATCACAATGGCATTTTGCTGGAGTAATCAGTCGCCCAACCGGCATGCATAACAATTACCGAACCTGGACAGAATGTAATGCTTGGCTTAGTGCTACTAAATCTAACCGACATCAAACGTAAATCAAAACCTGCATGACAAACAAAAACGGGACAGGCAACAATACCAAGGAACAGACTTGTTTTTGTATAAATTAAAACGAACCATTTGACAGGGGTTGCAGGGGAGGGTTCCAAAACCCACCCAGGATGCCAGGACCAACTTGGGTCTGCTGAGCTAAGCCCTTCTCAGTTGAGCCGGGGCGAATGCAAAAGTTCTTTTCTTAGCAGGTTGAATTACTTTGACAAGAAGTTGAGAGGCTGAGAGGCAGAGTTCAGTTCGAAAAGGGGTCAAAGTGCACTGCGGTTAGAAAGTCCTCTCACCCCTTTAAACGTTCCCCTTTCAGGTGAGCGCTTTGTGCCGGAAACCTTTGAGTCGGGCTATAAAATAACCATGCGCCTGACCATATACGAGGTGGACATCCAGGACTTCGGGGCCTATCGATGTGTGGCCAAAAACTCCCTGGGCGACACTGACGGCGCGATCAAACTGTACCGTAAGTATTGGCGTAAGTAACAATAACTACATACATGAATGCCATAACAGTGCCAATAGCAAATACAATGGCCACAAACGAAACCGTAACCGTAAACCCAAACAATTCAAACAGCCCGAACAACAATGACCATAAGTCAGAGCGCCCCTGGCAATTAGGCGCAAACTATTTGCCCGGCCGGAGCTTTTAATTAATTTAAGTCAATGACTCTGCGTGAGCCGACAGCAATGTGTGTGTTGCCTGATAAATTCCCAAAACAAAAGGGTCAGCTGGAGTTCGAAGGTGACCATTTCCCCCAGTGTCAGTGATTGATTTACGAGCAGCAGGCCATTCAGGGCCATAATCCTTCCACCTTTCCTCCGCACTCGGGTAGAGAAGGGCAGACATATGGAAAATTCCCGGAAAATGACTAGCAATCACCAACATTTGAAGCTCACCTAAAGATGAATTTCAGGATTTATATTTCATATTTATACCCTTGCAGAGGGTATTATGATTTCAGTCAGAAGTTTGCAACGCAGTGAAGGAGACGTTTCCGACCCAATAAAGTATATATATTCTTGATCAGCATCACTAGACGAGTCGATCTAGCCATGTCCGTCTGTCCGTCTGTCCGTCTGTCCGTCTGACCGTCTGTCCGTCTGTCCGTCTGTCTGTTTCTACGCAAACTAGTCTCTCAGTTTTTGAGCTATCGGGATGAAACTTTCCCAAAAGTCTTCTTTCTATTGCAGGTAGTATATATGTCGGAGCCGACCGGATCGGACAACTATATCTTATAGCTCCCATAGGAACAATCGGAAAAAAAAACTTTAAAAAATTCTAACTTCGGTGTTTTTTGAAATATTACGTTCTACTTTTGGGGATGTTATTATACCCTTGCAGAGGGTATTATGATTTCAGTCAGAAGTTTGCAACGCAGTGAAGGAGACGTTTCCGACCCCATAAAGTATATATATTCTTGATCAGCATCATTAGACGAGTCGATCTAGCCATGTCCGTCTGTCCGTCTGTCCGTCTGTCCGTCTGTCCGTCTGACCGTCTGTCCGTCTGTCCGTCTGTCTGTTTCTACGCAAACTAGTCTCTCAGTTTTTAAACTACCGGGATGAAACTTTCCCAAAAGTCTTCTTTCTATTGCAGGTAGTATATATGTCGGAACCGACCGGATCGGACAACTATATCTTATAGCTCCCATAGGAAGGATCGGAAAAGAAAACGTTAAAAAAATTCTAGCTTCGGTGTTTTTTGAAATATTACCTTCTACTTTTGGGGATGTTATTTTTTAAATATTTCTGAATTTCGAATTAATTATTTAAAAAATCGGACAACTATATCATATAGCTGCCATAGGAACGATCGGAAAATTAATGGAAAAGTAATAGGAAATAAATTCTAGCTTCCTTGGTTTTTATTGTATTATCTTCTACTCTAGGATATGACTCTTTTTAAATATTTCCGAATTTCAATTTTAATTTGATCAAAATCGGACGACTATATCATATAGCTGCCATAGGAACGATCGGAAAATTAATGAGATTAATGAAATTAATTGAACATTTTTGCGATTTGTTAATTAATAGGAATGTTCTGCGAGGGTATTTAAGCTTCGGCTGGCCGAAGCTAGCTTCCTTTCTTGTTTTATTTCACATTTATATTTCATATTTGTATTTTATATTTACCTATATTTTATATTTATATTTCATCTTTATATTTCATATTTATATTTTATATTTATATTTCATATTTATATTTCATACTCACATATCATATTTATACTTTATATTGTATCAATCGGTATCTAATGTAACTAATATGAACTATGTTTTAAATATATGAGATTTCAAAGGTTCTAGGCTTCTTAAAAATCAGTTTTTAAGTTCACGTGGTTTAATGTCACCGTTTAATCGCTAATTCAGAACTATCGCCCCCTTCAGATATTCCCCAGACCACCACGATAACGACAATGGCTCCGACCGTTTCGATCAACACGGTGCCCGTGGTCCTTGTGAAGTACAACAAAGGTGAGGCCCTCCTTTTCCTAATCCCCGACACCCACTCACATCTAAGTAACCGCAGAACAACGCTATGGCAGCAACAGCAACCAGAACAGCAACAGCAATCCGTACAACTTCAACAATGGGCAGCAGAACACGAAGCTGCAGCGCGGCAAGGCCAACAACAAGGGTTCGGATCAGTCCTCCCATGGACTGAACAATGTCTTCGTGGGGGCCACGTCCAGTCTGTGGAACTCGCAGGATCACCACTCCTCCTCCTCCTCCTCCTCGCGGGGCAGGGATCACCACCAGCAGCAGCACCACCAGCAGCAGCAGCAAAACCACGGTGAGTCGGGTTCCCCCTCGAGTCCCCGGGGATTCGGCCATCTAAGCCACTCCCGGCTCAGCAATCGATGCGAATTCCTTCTCTGGGGGCTGTAGCAGCACATAAATATTTCGCCATTTATTTTATGCTTATGACAAATCATAACGACTTTAGCTGCTTGGCTTAAGGGTCTCTGGCATGTCGTTGTCGCCACTTGTTAGATATAGATACTTTTGGCTCAAGCTGCCAGAGAACTTTGGCCATGGTCGAGATGGCTGGACTGACGGATACCGTAACTTTAGTAAATATTTCAAATTTTTACTATCCATTTAAATATTTGTCAAGAACTAGACCTGACGTCAATAATAGCATACTAAAAAGAGATAGGGTCGTCAAAACATCGAAAGTGGGGCCCATTGTTAGCTTTGGCAATTAATGATAGTCATTATCGATATTATCGATACTATCGAAAAACTGAGAAAATAAACGACAAAATAAAACAACAAAGGAAAACTCAAAACCACATTTCATTGAAAATGTAAGCTTAAAATTTAACTTAAGCCTTAAGTCATAGCACCTATAGGAAAATCAAGCCACATTGTACATTGTCCAATGTTGATACTTAATGTTTAAAATACCATACTTAAAAATCCTATTTTAATCTTAAAAAACACCAACATTTAATGTACAATTAATTTATTCTGCTTAGCGATACCATCAATATTGGGATATTTCCAAAATTTTAAAACTTTCGATAGTATCCATAAAGCATTTCTAAGTAAGTAATATTAAAATCGATCGAAAGATGCATCTGATAGTCGAATATACCCCTCTATCGATTGCTAAGCGTATAAATATTTGGCCAGCTCTTATGAAAGTATGCTTTTGTATCATTGGTATATATTTTTTGTCGCCTTGTAAGGGAAAATATGACATTCTAGCACGCCACAGTGAAGGTTTCCGGGATCTCTTTCTGCCCCATCGAATCTTCCGCCGGTTGCTGAGTTGACAATGTGTCTGCTATAATGTGCTGCTAATGCGGACCGTCGTAATGTACAATCATAATAAATAATAATGACCTTCTGCCATTTGTTCTTGGCCAGAGGGGGAGTGTAGAAAATTTAGCCCTAGATGCCAATGAAACTATCGAACTGGCGGGTTAAAGCACAAGTCAAAGTCTCCATGGAGCAGCTGCCAATCGATAAGCATAAAGTTTTACACTTGCTTTCCGATTTCCTGCATTTCCCGATCACACAATTGGCGACAATGCTGCCCCCTTTTTCTGCTTTTCCTTCTCCCCTCCGCAAGGACGAACGCATAAAACTTTACAGGCCCTTTGCTGCGATGTGGAAATTTTCTGCATACGCGCTCGACTAAAAATAAAATGCACTCGACAAAATCAAATCGAACAAATTGAATATGAGAGGGGTGGTGCCAGGGGAGGGGGTAGGGAATGGGGAATGCTCCAAAAAGCGCAATATAAAAATAGCAGACAAATTGCACACAAGGCGTCAAGGCGGTAGAGCTGCCCCATTCCCTGCCCCCTGCCCCAAACTTATCCCGCCGTTTTTGGCAAACGCCAGCAAAAATGTTGCATCCCTCGCAGGATGGCCATCCATTTGAAAGGGGGTTGGGCGGGTGCTTTTTAAGGGGGGTGTAAATGGGGCTCTTGGATGCGGGTGCTACAATGACGACAACTTTCAAGCGCTGCATGCAACGTCGTAAGCGCTGCGTTTACAGTTAGATTTATTACCTGCTAGATGTTGCACATATCGTGCCAGTAGGTGGTATACTATGGCATAACCACCCGTATTCCCGGGGACTGGAACTGCAACTGGGGGTACGAGTACGAGTACGAGTGGGTGTGGCTTGTTCGCTTATCGTTGCCGCGTTTTGCATATGTCGCGACTGTTTTTGCTCGGCCGCTGACACTTTAAGGCGGAACAAGCCAGCGACAACGAAAGTTTCATGACCAAAGCAACATATCCCTACATACCTACCCCCCTTAGAGTACGCCCATCTATTTGCGGGGACATGAAAATGCACGAAACGAAAGTGATGCTATCATTAGGGATATTTTCGTTTCGACAGGTATTTTAAGCAATATTTAAATTTTTGCTACAGGCGAAACCCTTGAAATAAACACTCAAATGTTTGTACTTAATTCGGTTCAAGCTTTTGTCAAAAAAGTGGGCTTTCAATTCGCATTATGTTTACGTTTCATCACATTGTAATGCATTGTGTTGATTGCCATTGTCCTGTGCACATGCAAGGCCTTCAGGTGTTTCAACATTTCAATAGGAGGCAATTACATTCACACGTTGTGTGTTTTGAAAACGTAATTGTAGCTGAGTTCTGAAGTTAGTCATTAAACCTAAACAGATTACTAAGAAGGTATTTAGTCACCTGTAACGGAAACGGTAATGGGATAACTAAAATGCCACGCCATTTGGTTTTGACTACACACAAAAAAAAAAACGCCGGGATCAAATCGATATGCGCATAGTAAATTTCGACTAAATGGCGACATAACTTATGTCGTGAGTGGGAGAACTCGCCTACTTAGAACATGTTATTGATACCACATAATATCAAATTGATCATCGTTTCGAATCAAGTTTTTTTTGGGTGTAAAACAACAATTTGCGTTGAACAGTGATTTTCGAGTTAGACGAGTGAGTTTATCGAGTGCCCAGATGTGCCAGCACTTGTCCACATGCCAATTAAATTCAATTTCCAATTATCAATGGAGTCGAATGCTGCTCGTCCTCTCGGTCAGCGCTTAGTTCGCCCGAGGCCACAGGACCGGTGTCCCCATTAAGTGCTGCAGCTGCATTCGGCTCGCCACTTAAACTGTCATTAAAATGTTGCAATCAACCACAGGAGCCGGATCTGCTGCTCCGTTGCTCGGTTGCTCCTCCGTTGTCGCTGTCATATTTAATTTGTGCGGCCAACAGACAAACAATATGGCACAAATTACAAGGAAATGCAATAAAAGAAGATTGCACTGGAGTCCACACTCGAATTCGGACCTCGGACCTTGGATGGATGATTACTTCAGCATTCAGTGTCTGGCAATAATTTGCCTATAATTTGCACAAGCCATCCGAGTCCGAACACCTCCCCTCTTCTGTGCGAGAAGTGAAAAATGATGAAGTAAATGAAATGCAACAGACAGCGACCGAATTGCGATCGCGTGCCGCGGGCATTTTATCGGTGCAGCAGGCCTTTTCGCGAGTGGGAAGTGAGAAATGGGTCGGGAAAAAAGGTGGCAGAACTGCACAATAAATATAACGCATGGCAGGACCAAGTGAGTCTCAAGTGCTGAGTGCAGCTGCGTTTTTTTATGACTTTCGTCTAAGTGCCAGAGGCTCGGAAATCGAAGTGTGAAAGCTGTCCCACACAAAAAAAGAACACTTCGAGGTCAAATCGATATGCGGATGATAAATTTCAGTTATTTATACGCATAACTTTTTATCAGGCAATACTGGTAAAATTGATATTAAATAATATAATTATAATATAATATAATTCTAATCTAATTCTCTTTCCTTACTTTCCTGCCCTGGGATAAGGATACGTGGGTTCCATAAGCATACGCAGTTTATTTCTATTAGGCCAATTGCTCCCCGCGGATCGGCCGGGGAATTATGCAAGAATTACTTAAAGTTTCGAGTAGTTTTAAGAGCGTGCTCCTCCGTTGAGCTAAAGCGTTTTGCCTCGGCAAACAGGGCTTTCTTAGCTTTGCTTGCTCTCGTCGCCAACCCTTCTCCCCGCCCCCGTTTACGCCTGAGCTCTTTAAAGACACCGTTGGGACTTTCCCAACAGCCGAACCCCCAACCCCCGATCCACACCCCCATAAACACATGCTCAAACGTCAATAAAAATCAGCCACACACACAGGGCACAAACAAGGACCTCGATGCGTGTTGGTGTTGCCGGCTTTCACACATGGAAATGTTTGCAGACGCCAGCAAAACAACCAAGGCAACGCCAGCCAGGAATGGCAGTGCAAAGGAGTTTTGTGGAAAAGCTGCTTATGGAAAAATAAAAAAAAAAACCAGAGACACACAAACGCCCACGCCGACGCACACACACACATAGACAGACTGACAAATACATAGCCAGCCCGGTGCAAAGCAATTTGCGCATTTCCGTTATAAAAATAAAAGGGTTCTCGTTAAAAACAATTCGAAAAGTCCCTGGATGGACCGAAAATGAAGGGCCAGCCGTCGGGTCATATTTCATAGTTATGACAAAGTTCGTTCAATGCAATGGAGTCCGACTGCCTCGATTACGATTAACGGGGTCGAAGGATTCAATTCGATCTCGATTTTACCTATGCAGCCGTATGTGGACCGCCTCTACATTTTAGTTGAGACCAGAGCTTTACTTCGTAGCCCCTTTATTATTTAACTAAACTGTCTGTTTTTACTATCCTGTCCTTGACTTTAATTCCTTAATTTTAAAAAGGAATAGTATTTAAAAATTATAGACTTAAGTTCTTATTTTTAGATTGCGGTTCAAAAACAAAATTTACCCTTCATTTTTTGCAAGAAAAAAAAATGCAAAAATATTATATTATAAAAATGTATGAGAAGGTCTAGATATTATTATTGACAAACCAACACTTCGCCTACAAAGCGATTTTTATTCGACTCTATTGTCTTGCTTTATATTCAATTTCAATTAATTGACAAAACAAATTGAATTCTGCTCTTTGATCTCAAGTTAAACACTAACCAATTACAAAGCCACAACCCAAGTAAAGTCCTTAGAATGTTTATATTTTAGGTTGATATGGTCAAGCCAGGCATGATCTCGAATAATTCCGCAAACAATTGTTTGCCATCCACCTAATGACCAATGGCCTTACGTCAAAGTCAAACAGAGCCAAATCGAGGGGACAGCCAAAAGAATCGAATCGCCCCATTCCATTCAATTCGGGGCCGAGCCCAACAGGCAAACAAATGTCCAATGAACCAGATTTCCGGGCAAACAAACAGCCGAAAAAGGAAGACGACTGGCAAAAAATACAAACTGCACGATAAATTGATGGCAAAAACAATACACAGCCCTTGCACACCTCCCGCACACTCCGTGGTCCCCCGATCCGGATCCCAAACCCAATGTGTCCTCTAGGACATATGTACACCCACAAGTCGCCCCCTCTGCTTGGAATGCATGGCGCAAGGGTTTAACGCACTTAAGCAATAAAAATCGAAACAATTTTCGATGCTGCCAAGTGAAATTGAAACAAAATACCAGCAGGGACGAGTGGAGGGCGGAGGATACTTTCGCTTTTCCCAAAGAAATTGGGGATGGGGAAGAGGGAACTGTATAAGTGAGAATGTTATAAATAAGTGGGGCAGGCAAAGTTGTGTCCCTTTTATATGCAATACTTTCTGCTCTGCCAGTTGACAAACAGTTTGGGTTTGTGTATCCTGTATCCTGAGCTCACTGTCCTCTTCGAAGCCCCCGTCTTCGGATTCGTCCCTCAGCCCCTTGGTACTGTTGGTCGTTTTATCTCTTTCGCATTGTCGCCTGGTACAAATGGCTGGCCATAAACGCATCCTGGGTCTATTGTTTATGCTCGTTGGCGTGTGGCAAGCGCATAATTGAAAAAGGACATTCAGCTGATGACATTCGAGTCCCGGCAATATGAAGGGCGCCTCGTAAAGAGGCATGTGTCGCTTGATTAAGTCAGTGTAGTAAAAGCCAAGAGTCCACAAAAGAACCATAAATATTTTAATCAATCATTGAAATCTCTTTCGCATCTTCATCTTTTTCTTCATCTTCTGCTTTCAGGATCGGATCACAGCGCCTCCTATCGGGCGGACGGCAAGAGTCCGCACCTCACGAAGCACGATGCCAAGTCCCTGACCGACGACCTGGATCGCATGCAGGACCTCAAGGGCTGGGCCCACCGCCCCGTTCCCGGCTTCTCGATCCTTGACCTTTCGATTAGTTTGGGAATGATGATTTACCTGGGCGCGTGGCCGGGCTAAGCTGTTCGAGGAGAAGTGTACAAAACGTTTATGGAAATCAGATGTTAGTCTAACTAAGATAAACTAATTCGTAAGCAATACCCCTTTAAATCGTGTTGGTCAAAAATCTATTATTTTTGTGCTAAGTGGAAAGTTGCTTACTGTAAAAAGTTGTTGATGTTTAAGGTAAATCTAAAATTTAAGTGGCCATTTGAAGGATCGAGCATTAAATTGTGGGTACTGGGAATCGCAACGGAAATACAAAGTATTAGAATGTAAAACATAAGGGCTTAAATCAAGAAAAAATGTTTTTAGGCCAAGTACGCGAGTTGCTAATTATATTTCTGGCCTAATATTATAAAAACTAGCACTGGTGGTTTAAGAATAAAAATGAGTTGAACCGCGTTAAAAAATCGACTATGACGGTATGATAAAAATGTGTTAATTTGACAGAAAATAATCGATGTTTTAGAGTAATAATTTGTTTAACTATTAAGATTAAGTTTTAAATCAAGAAACACACGAACAATTGGCCAAGTAAGTCAATCCTCAGAGGGCCAGGAATATAAGTACCAACATATTGTACGTGTCTACCTAATGAGACTCGAACCGACATTATATCTAAGTCACCGGGGTCAGTCGACAACAATATTTTTTACTATAAGCCCTGTTCTAGCTTAGTTTCCTAGCACTGCAAGCTGTATAATAAATATTACATAAACAATTTCATCTTGATTTAAGAGAAAATAAAAATGCCGTCTTAAATCATGTAAACTTTAACACAAAACTCGTGTCGTTATTTGCAGTCCTAAAAAGACAGCATAATATCTGAAGGTAATGTCGTTATAATATTTACAATATTTGATTTTTTAACTATTATAAGGATTTCAGGTTTGTGCGATCAATTCAATAAAAGTTTTGGGTCAAGAAGAATAGGTCAAAATTGGTTTCCAAAGCTACCCTTATTATGCAATAGCCCCAAAGCGAATATTTACTGAACCGCAAAATGTACTATACCCAAACAACTGAAGCCCGCCACCCGTTGCCATTGTTTACTTTGCCAGTGAATTTGTGCACCATCGACCCACATGAAAACATTTTTCATTTTCATTAAAAAAGTGAGCACAACAAAAAACTCTCGCGACTTTATAATTTAATTTAAAAAGCGGAGGGCAGCCCAAAGCGCAGTTGAGAGTAGAACGGGGCAACTGCAAGCGCAAAAACATAAAAAATAATTATTAAAATAAATTAAATGTCTGCTGCTGCCCCCATAAACTTCGTCGAGTGGGCAATTAAAGGAGCCAGCGTGTGAGACGTGGGGGTATAATGGAACGTGGCTAGTTTTTTCTCAGGAGTTGAAGAGTTAAGCGGCAGTCGAAAAAAGCACACCAGAAACCGAAAAAAAATCAAATTGCTGCCATGGCATTTTGACTCGAGTTTCACACAACGCCATGGTAAATGGCAAAAAATTGGCATGTGAAACGATTGCAGTGCCCTGTGCCTTCGGTTCGGCCTCCTGCCCTTTGCCGCAATAAAGGATCCAGTTAATAAAGCTAACAGAGCATGTGCCGTATGTCAAAAAACGTATAAAAATATATATCCGTATGTGTGTGTATGTTGGCAAAACGGGAAGGTAAGGCAAAGGCAAGGAAAGGCAACCGGAAATATGCAGACAGACTAAAAAATTACCGGAAATGAGCTCCATTATAATGCATCGCTATTTGCGGCTTCCTACTGTGTTTTCTCATTATAAATTACAATAAATGCTATTATATATTTCTAGGATCAACGACTTTTCATTTTAAATGAATGTTTAAAAATAATTTCTGGATTTTTAACTAAAACTCAAATACTATTTATTTAGTTTATTTAATTATTAAATTTATTTTTCACCAGAGGGAATTCTATTCCGAGTGCTTCAACTACACGGTGCAACGTATTGGTTTATTTCTGTTGATGCTAAAATGCTGGGGTACTTTAAAGACATTTATTCATCAATGACGCTAAAAATGCACAGCTCGTTGCTTTACTTGCTGAAGTATGTTGGAGGTGTAAAATGTACTATGATTTACTATGGATTACAATAAGTTACATCGGCTTACTATGGATTACTACGGATAACATAAAATTCTATAAAGAACGGATCACCACATGAGCTCATGTCCGACTGGATAGCAACAGAAAAAAGTTCTTAAAACCCCAAGAAATTATTTTTGTCTTGAGAAAAAAAATCTTACTATTAAACTCCGTCTTCCATTATCTTTTTGAGTAGTTTGTTAATTTATTTTTCGTATTTTAGATCAATCTGTTATTTTATTTGTAAGCGAGCAATGGTGCAAATGGTTAACTTTAGAGACAAATGGTAATTTTTATTTTATGCTATACGAATGACAAATTTTATATAGTGTTATTAATAAAAGTGATAATTGAAACATGCTCTGTAATTAAATACGGCAAGAGAAATTCGAGGTTGTTATTGCAACTTAAATCTATTGTCAGAGACATTTTTTTCACACGCGTGACATTGATCGGTTTAATGACGCGAAGCCGCAATCAATTTTAAACATTAATATTTGACAGCACATTAAATCGAGCCAGTGCAAACACTTTGCAGCCAACTTTCATCAGGTTAAAGCCAACTCTGACCTTTAATAAAAAGCATCGAGCCAGTTTTTGTTCCACTTAGCCAACTGCTTCTATTGTGGGTCCTTGGCTCTCCTTTTTTGCGCTTTGATACGTTATGCTTTTTGTCCTACCCGCTTTCGTATGCAGTGCATTTTTTCTTCACTTTTCCCATCCATCTGTTTTTCTTTGGTCAGCATACTCTTTGGCTGGAACTGTCGAGCCGACATAATTGCGAGGGACCGCTGACTTGACAACTGTTGTCAAATTAAACAATTAGTATTTACATTTGAAATTAAGGACATAGTCTGCCAACTTTTGGTAAAACAATGTTTTTGAAAAATAAATGCGCTTTCCCTTAGCTACAGCTGCAACCTCTGAAAGCTTGTGTTTAGTGAAGTCAGTTTCCAGGAAAGCTTTTTCGAACTCGATTTGTGTAAAGTAAAGTAGCAGTAGTCATACAAAATTTTGCAGACATGCGCAGTATTACGGGGGCCCAGAGCCTCCAACGCTGGCGAAATGATAAGAAAATGTTTTTCAAAAAGTGTGCCCGGAAAAGCCAAAGACAAACTTTTGTCTAACATTTTGGAAATATTTTAAAAGATTAGCATTTAAGAATTCTGTTTTTAAGACATACAGAACATTTTATTATTCTGCGCTCCTCAACTGGGGCAGACGCAAAACAAAGGTTTTTCAACTAAATATTATATTATTAATTTTTAAAATGTCCGGAACTAATCGTTGGTTAAATGTGTATGGCATATACATAAACTAAAATGAATGACATGAAATTGGGTACAAAAATATATTTACAATATTTACGAAAGTAACCATCAGTCACTTTTCAGACTGTTCCATATTCGGGCTGTCCGAACAGATAATGAAAAAGAAAAGATAGTGGGAGACCAGATTGTCTCTTGTTTATAAGAACCTCCCAGCGAGATTGCAGCCTCAGTAGCGCATTGTTTTTCCAATGGACTTGTTGATGCTTTTGCTGACCTCCCTGCTCTCTTTTCTGCTGGGCTATTTGCGGTACCGCTTTAGCTACTGGGAACTGCGGGGAGTTCCCCAGCTAAGACCGCACTTTCTTTTCGGGCACTTCTTCAAGCTGCGGTCGTTGCACCTCAGCGAGCTCCTCCAGGAGACCTACGACGCCTTCAAGGGCAGTGCCAGGGTGGCAGGAACCTATGTCTTTTTGCGACCCATGGCCGTAGTTCTGGACATGGACCTGGTTAAGTCGGTGATCATCAGGGACTTTGGCCAGTTCGTGGACCGGCGAAGCTTTCACGGTGATTTGCTGACCGCCAATCTGTTTAACCTTCAGGGCGAAGAGTGGCGCGCCCTGCGGACAAAGTTATCACCCACATTTACGAGTGGAAAAATGAAGTACATGTTTGGAACTATTACTCAGGTGGCCCAGCAGCTAGAGGAGACATTCGAGGAACTAGTTGGATCTCAGGTAATGTGTTAGGAACCGAAATACTACTTAGCCTATTAAAATTTCAATTTTTACTGATTGGTTAATAATTAATTTTATACAACCCGATGACAGGGTTCCATTCTAGAGCTCCACGATCTAATGGCCCGCTACACCACCGACGTGATTGGCAGATGCGCTTTTGGTACCGAGTGCAATAGCCTCAAGGATCCGCAGGCGGAGTTTCGGGAGGTCGGGCGTCGGCTCTTCCGGAACAACAATAAGAGCATTCGGTGGCGCATCTTCAAGATGACGTACCTCAGCTCGCTGGCCAAGCTTGGTCTGCCGATTCGAATCTTTCACCCGGACATTACCGACTTCTTCCTTCGCATAGTCCGCGAAACGGTCGAGTTAAGGGAGCGCGAGCACATCCGCCGGAACGACTTTATGGACCTGCTGCTCGATCTCAGACGCCAGGAGAAAGGGAGGGGACTCACCATGGAACAGCTGGCCGCGCAGGTCTTTGTGTTCTTCGTGGCTGGATTCGAAACGAGCTCTAGCAACATGAGCTACGCTCTATTCGAATTGGCCAAGAACCAGGCTGTGCAGCAGAAACTGCGACTGGAGATAAGCGACGTGATGGCTAGACACCGAGAACTGACCTACGAGGCCATGCTGGAGATGCCCTACTTGGATCAGACGATCACAGGTATGTGTGCGTTGTGTGCGACGTATCGGAGATTAAATTTCTCTAGCAGTGTTTGTGCATCTTCTTTTAGAGATAAGACCTCTATAGTTAAATGTGAATCAGTGCTGCCATCACTCAGCTTGAAAAACCGGACAGAAAAGCCAAAAAAAACAGGGAAAAAGAGGACAAAAAAATTTAAAAAAGGACAAAAAAAGGACAAAAGTAAATGCGCCTCCATTTTTCTGTTTTTACCAAAGGGTGATATATTTACTTAATATAAATGGATTTTATATTAAATTCAATTATGTAATGATCTATTGCGCCCGACTCACAACCTTCTTCGTTTGATCATTTTACCATGGTCAATTTTTGTGCGTATACGTAATAATCTAAAATTATTAAAATAATAAAAGCATTTCAAGTAACTATATTGGTAATACAAAAAAATGCAATATCTGCGTCAAACCCGAATAAGAGTCGTTCAAATATGAAATTTTTTTCTGACAAAAAGGCTGAGAGTAAAAATTGAGAACTTTTTAAAGTGTTTTCCTCTTTTTTTGCTACAGAAAAAATCGTACTATAAAGACAGTCCATCGACTGCATTACATCTCTTTGATAATTTGTAAAAATAATTATTTTTAAAGTGCCGAACTATATAAAATAATGGTTAAAATGGCGTTTTAGCATATAAAAGCAGGTTTATACACTTTCGACTAGCAAAAATAACACTCAAAACCTTATCTTTGAAAAAAGGACAGATTTCCGGATAGGGGATGTTTGAATTTTTTTCCGGATAAAGTCGTTAAAAAAGGGACAGATCTGTCCGGAAAGAGGACAAAATGACAGCACTGATGTGAATACAGAAATTGACCAGAAAAATAGTAAAATGGTCCCAGACCGTAAAATTGTCGATTTGCCAATGAAATATTTACTCTCACAACAACAAAATACATAAAACTGACTGTTTTGCAGTGGTTTTACTATTAAGCCTAGTACTCACTTCAATCAAAAAAGCAACGAAATGAAAATTTCTATACAAAAATGACAGGCAAAAAATTTTGTGATCAAAATTTTGTATGGAGATTTTCATTTCGTTGGCTTTTTGATTGAAGTGAGTACTAGGCTTTAAATAGTAAACAAAGCAAAAACAAAATACACAATAGGGGAGAGTGGGGGAATTTCGTCACAGGGGCAATTTCGTCACCTGCAATATCTCGGAATCCATAAGTCGTAAAAATATATAATTTTTTTGTTTTAGTCCTTCAAGACGGCCAGACACAACCAATGCATTTGTTTTGCACAGAAGGCCAAGATAATTAAGCTATAATATTAAATGTGTTTTAACAGTTCAAAAGCTACATTTAGTTCTCGACGAAATTTTTTCTGTATGCCACAATTCAAAAGGAATAAGATACACGATTTTTTATATAATACACAGTGCTATAATGTGCATTTCTGCGTCAGTGATTTTTAACTTCGCGCCTAATTTCGCAAGAAAAATAATTATTTCTAAAAAAGTACGGTCTGGGGAAATTTCGCCACTCTACGCTAAGGGTAAATTCGCACCTATTTTAAATACATATTTTTATATTTGACGAGCTGGCTAACGAACAGACTACCAGCAGCAGCAACAAATATAGGACGTCAACAAAAATGGTACGCTTGATCAGTGTAGCATATTTTCAGGCGTTAAACTCCCTACATTTTTCAGGTGACGAAATTTCCCCAGTTGTGTGGTGATTTTACCCCCCTGTGTGGTGAGATTGCCCCAGTATATTGGTTTTACATTTTATTTTTTTATAAATCACCAAGCTAATTAAAACAAGAGAGAACGCTATAGTCGGGTGCCCCGACTATCAGATACCCGTTACTCAGCTAAAGGAAGTGCGAAGGAGATCGAGATAAAAACTTTGATCTGCCGTAACTTTTTAACGAATGGTCCGATTTAAAAAATTTCTTCTACATTTCGATAGGTATTGATAAACACCATAAAACTGCATTTTTACTTTTCCGAAATATTGAAATTTTTAAAATCGTATATAGGCGATTGTGGGCGTTAGAGGGGGCGTGGCACCCTTTTGAAACAAACTTGCGCTGCGTAGGAACTCCCAGAATCTGCATGCAAAATGTCAATCTTCTAGCTTTTATAGTTTCCGAGATCTCAGCGTTCATACAGACAGACAGACGGACAGACGGACAGACAGACGGACAGACGGACAGACGGACATGGCTAGATCGACTCGGCTAGTGATCCTGATCAAGAATATATATAGTTTATAGGGTCGGAAACGCTTCCTTCTACCTGTTACATACTTTTGCACGAATCTAGTATACCCTTTTACTCTACGAGTAACGGGTATAAAAATAGGGGAATGTCACATTTTAAAGCTTGGTGCTAACCGCATTCAACAATAAAAATAGAAATATGATAACGTGTCTCAAGATGGACAAAAAATAGCTTTGAAAAAATGCTGACGAAATTCCCCCACTCTCCCCTACTAAGTATTTTTATAAAAGTTCCTTTGGGGTACAAACAAGAATTTTAAGTAAATGTTTTTGTTTTTACTGTACGAAAATCCAATTTTAATGAAAGACTTTACATATTTAAAAGGTGTCAAGAATTATTTTGGAATTACAATTACAAAAAAATGTTAAGCTAGGCTTCTGGAAGTCCCCTGCAATTAGGAAAAAAATGTATAAAAAGTCAGTCAGTGCTTTTAAATACAAAAACTTGTGTATTCCAAATCTATTTAAATAACTATTATTGACAAAGCTGAAGGTTTTTGCGATTTATTTTGATTTTTAAGAGTATTCTGAATAATGCTTTTAAAAACTTCATGAAGCAGTTTAAAATATACTTTTAATTTAATTTAATCCGTTGATTTTTCAAGCAAGTGCTCATTTGTATGTTTAATAATTTCATTCGTCTATTTATATTGTTGTTGCCCTCTTCATAATGTTCATGATTTAAATAGTAAACAACTTTTTTCACTTACCTTTTTTAGAAACACTCCGCAAGTACCCTGCCTTGAGCTCGCTCACCCGCCTTGCCTCCGAGGACTACGAGATTCCCTCCCGCGACGGCGGCGATCCCGTCGTCCTCGAGAAGGGCACCACTGTGCATATTCCGGTGCTGGCCATTCACTACGACCCCGCGATCTACCCGGAGCCCTACGAATTTCGACCAGAGCGGTTTGCGCCGGCTGCCTGCCAGCAACGACATCCCACCGCCTTTCTGGGCTTCGGCGACGGACCGCGGAACTGCATTGGTCTGCGGTTCGGGCGGATGCAGGTGAAGGTGGGTCTGATCGCCCTGCTCCGCCGTTTCCGCTTCAGCCTGCCGCCCGGATCGCCCACTCAGCTGGCTGTCACCAAGACGAACGTGATACTCCTGCCCAGCGGGGGCGTTCGATTGCAAGTCGATCCGGTGGAGTCGCGCCTAATGTAAACACAACTCGGGACGGGAATAAACAACGCAGCCTGCCGTTTCGTCAGCAGAATATTCAATTAAATTCACCCGTTCGACGGTCGATTGAAAGCCAAACCAAAATTTATAGCAGCCGCAAAAGCTCCCTTCCCACGTCCCCATTCCTACCCATTTGCCACCCAAGGCTACTGCTCAGTTATCCCAGAATCCGACACCATGGGCATTAAATCAACACGGGCGACACGGGTGGTGGGAGGTAGGGGAGGGATCGGGGTCTGGGCAGCCATGTGAGCCGACCAAAAGCCATTGCGGTTCAGTTTGATGCACTTCTCGGATGGCCAGCCCCCCAACGCCGCCCAACCACCTTCGTTGAGTGTGTGTGAATCGCCTGCATAAATCCAAACATTTACAATATTTTGCTAATTAGCAAAATATGTGTGAATAATGCATTTAACCAAGGGGGCGGCACGGGAGCAGTGGACTGCTGCATCCTGCAGGTGTCATATTAAATTTATGACCAGAGCTGCCCACACAATCAAGAGACACTCATGTAGACGGAGAAACTGTGACAAGTGCCAGCAGTGGACAGTCTCAACATTTTGGCCATTTTGGTGATTAGTTGTGGACAAGCAGACGTTTCACTCCCGGCATAATGAGCAGCATAAATCAATAAATGAAAATCGCTGATGGATTTATGCATACGTGAAATAAAAATATCTAATTTCGGAAACAAAGAGGAGAGCTCCGTATTTTCACTCACCACAAAAATCTTATTTATGAAATAGATAGTTTCTCACTTGTGGCCAAAAATTTATGGGTATATTTATTTTATATCGTTAAAACTTAAATAATTTGTACTTTTATTTCACCAGATTATCACAGTCTTTTTCACCAATAAAAAATATATTTTGCCATAATGTTCCGACTTTGCAATAACCGACTTGACAATTACTGTCCACAAATTCAACTGAACCAATCACCCGATTTCATGAGCACTTTCATATGTCTAAGTGCGTATTGGGAATTATAAACAATAGTAAGAGAGTGCGAATTCAGCTTAAAGCGAAGAAGAGAACTTGAGAGAAATGGAGCGAGGCTAAGAACATTTAAAAGATAATATTTTATAAATAAAAGAAATTAGACAAATTTAAATAAATAATTATACAAAAAAAAAAAAATAATAAATTTAAAAATAAGTCCGTCTACTTCAAGATAAAGTTTATCAAACAAAATAAATTTTTTTTCCAGTGTGCCGAAAGAGACAATTTTATAGAATGTGTTTATGTTGTCGAATGTGTAGTAATTGTTCGTCACAAAAGTTGATATCAAAACTTTTCTATGTTAAAGGTGCGATCGTCACTAGCTTTTTATTTAACACAGTCAACTAGTCTTAACCAGTAGTCAACTTGCGAATATTGCTTTGGAAAACGAGTTGCTTTTTTAATCCGTAACTTATGATCGCGAACTATTATTAAAACCATAAACTATGTATGAAAAAAAAATTTTTTAAACATCCCAATTTGTTTTGTTCTTTTAAAAAACATATTTCGAAAGAATATGTTGTGAAGAAATAAAGCGAATCGGATTACTTCAGCCAGAAATATAAATGTACTAAACAAATACTTTTTTCGGAAAGATCGTGATAATTTCGAAAAAGGAATATTTAATAAATAGCACGCAAATGAAAAATGGTACAAAAATATTTTGAATTTATGAATTTATTTAGATAGATTCTTAAGATTATATATATGAAACTTTTGAGTTCTCTTCCTTCCACCTTAATGTCTCTATTTTAGGCACACCATCAGAAAAAATTCTTGTAACTATTTCCATATAATTATTCCTTTTATGGACTTTTAATTGGCAATTTCCTAAACTGGTTGGCAACCTTGACGCTTCGTCTATAACTCACCCAGAACTTTTGTCTATTAAACGGCGCCGTAAAAGCAAAAATATAGTCATAATTTATGGCAGTTAAGCAGCTAACAAACTATCCTGCAGATACTCCTCGTCCTCCAGTTACTCCTGGAGCTTTGCATGTTCAGCCACCATCATCGGGGGCAGGGGGTGTTCCAATGCGGTGGTGGGTTAAGACGTGAAGGTGATTCGTCGGTAGGGGTGGCAGGTGAAAGAACTGCACCTGTCGTCGTCGCATCCAGCACAAAACGCGGAAGCAAGTGAAAAGCAATTATCAGGTGTCAAAATTTATATTAGGGAAAAAGGATACCAACAAGAAAGCAAGGCAAAAGAAACAAAACAAAAATCTTGAAAATAAGTTGGTATATCATACACAAAAAAAGGAATTTTGAAAAAGGAGTACAGAATGATTTATATTTTAATTAATCCCAATAGACTAACTTATATAACATGTAATTTTTGATTAATAAATTCTTAAAGACTTAGGCTGTGACATTTTTGAAAAAAATTCAGTAACCGGTTATTCTAAACTTAAGCAAATGTCATAATCTTAATTTTATGCAAATGGTAAAATTTTAATAATATTTTTATTTATCGTTTTTATGAACATAGTTAACATAAAAACCCGTTTTAGGGATTTTAAGATGTAATATTAATGTAAACTGTCATTACTTATTTTAAATGGGACCATATTTCTATTATTTGTTTCGAGTGTATTCTGAACCCTTTTTGTGAAAATGATTTGTGGCCCGAGTGCATTGGCACGCAATGAAAAGTTTCTGATGAAGAAAAGTAAGGGCATAGATAGAACTCAGGGCTTCCTCCGGACGGTTTATAAAAACCTTTTTATACTGCATAAAATGTGCTATTGGTATGGTTAGCCTTTTCCCCCAGCTATTATTTTTTGGTCGTGTGCGTGTGTTGTGCGAAATTATATGCCTATTATATAGACATGAAGGAATAGGACAGGGGTCGATTAGCTCCCGAAAAGGAACTGATATATATATATGGGAGCAATTTATAGTTGCAGGGAGGTGGCCAGTTGAAATCAGTGCCTGACACAATATGGCACGGTTATTGAAAACCAACTTTCGGAGTGTGCGTCTGGTGGATGGTGTTGTGTGTGGGTGTTTTTCCGGTCTTGCTCGTTGCACTTGCCACACAAAACTGAAACTCGAAAGAAAAGTTCCATGGAGCTGCAAAATGTAATTAAATGATAAACCTTGAAGAACAACTTTGAAGCACACTTGAACCGATCGTAGACCCTTTAATTTATTATCTATTTCATTTTAATTACACTAATTTTAACTTCAATGGATGCCATAAAATCGCATTAAAAATTCGCCGTCGAAAGGATTTTGAGAAAGGGCCTCAAAGTTAAAAAAATGTTGTTTGGTTTGGAGTCAAAACATTTTTTGAATCTAAATAAATGCAGGATTGTTTTAAGTAAAAGCATGCTTTTAATCAAAATAAATAGAAATATATAAATATTTTTCAAAAAATATTTGTTCTTGTGTTGCTTTATAAAATTTTATTCGCTTCGAATCGCCAAATACTAAAATGGGATTTATCCGAAATGAAGAACTTTTACTGATCAATTAAGGAAGGTTTGTGCTTACCAAGAAACCATTTTTTTCTCAAAAGTTTAGACTTAGGTTTAGAAGAAATCGTACTTGCTTTGTCCTGCTTTTTTAATGATTTATTCTTGATTTATGAACGCGCAGCATTCCTAAACAAGCCCATTAAATTTTATCTGAAATTAATTTTAAAACGCACTTAAATTTAAAATAATAAAAATTCATAAAACCACAACAATTTATATAATCAATTAAAAGACAAATAGATTCATTTCCTCGTCGCCGTTCTTCAAAAACGTGTGATAATCACATCTGTGATAACTAAAGGTCGCGACCAATGACAATACATTTTTCCGTCGCACGCACTCACTTACTATCCGCACCCACCTACTCCTCCCCCTGGAGTTACGTTAACCCTTTGCCACGATATAGAATTCATTCATAAATGCTAGCCCCCAAGTGCCACGCGCCCAAAAATGTGCAGAGAGAATTTCCCAGTGCTCCAGTCCGTTCAATCGGCTTTCAACCGAGCTGAGAGCGCTTCAATCGTGGTGGGTTTCCAATGCACACCCCCCATTGGGCAGCACACACACACACACGCTCCGCTCAAGTTAGAAAAAAAGAAGCACAACGAAGTGAAAAGCGCCCGCCAACAAAAAGCAAAATAAAATGTGGCCCAGCAACAACAAAAATCACAGCTGTCTGATTCGTTCGCGAGGCCGCTGCCCACCCCCCGGGCGCCCACTAAAAAACACCACCCACCCACGCAGTCGCCCACCCCCGCCCCAAAAACGACGACGATTCGCCAAAGGAGCATCTTCGGAATCGCTCGGCCCTTCGCTTTTGGTCGCTTCACGCGACTTTAGTCGCCATCGGTATCGGTGGCCTCAGTACTTCGACGGCGTTCGGTTCGTGCGGTTCACTGCGGGTCCTTCGATCCTGGACTTCCTTAATCCTTAATCCTGAACATAATCGCGAGTGTTTTGCCGCCAAGTGTTGCATTCGTGCTGCAAGTGAATTACAATGATGCTGAAATAGCCATGAGTGACTTGTGCTGACCGAATTTCTCGATAAGAGTTGGTTATTTTCCTGGGAAAATTATCAAGAAATTAAGAAAATATATAGAAGCTGACTGATTTAATTACTATGAAAATGCATTGAGTGAGGTTGATATATATAGTATAATAAAGGATAAACAGATTTAATTACTATGAAAATGCATTGAGGTTGATACGACACATTTTTTAAATACATTTTTTCTGAATAAATACCAAATACTTTTCAACAAAAAAGGCTCAGGTTTTTCTGCAAAAAAGTTTAGGGGGTTCGAAACTAAAACCTATAGAATAACGAATTTCCAGAAAAACGTTACCAGAATTGTTTTCTAATCGAGCTCGTCCACTGAGGAATTTCAAAAATAATTTGGCAGAATTTTCGGGTAGATCAACAACAAGTAGGACTCGCTCGCGTGCCAAGTCGCGCGCGTTTTTAGCCGCTTGTTGGCAATTTAGCCGCGACTTTGGCGACATTTGCCGTCAGCTGCGTGTTTACTGTAATTATATTTAAAATAAAAACAAAGCCGAGTTATTTATGAAGCAACAACAATCGAGCCACCCTCGGCGGTCAATGGTCGTCACATGATTTGCTTTTTGCTCTGTGCTTTTTGCCTTCCTAACTGCAATGCGTGTTCCTGATGTTCCCCGAATGTGTATGCTGAAATTTGCCTACAAATGTGTCTGGGCCGCCACTCGACGCTGTTTATTGCGAGTGGCGGACGTGGACAGGAGTGCACGGTTTTAGGCCAGCCAAACAATTGCATATTTTATGTTTCACGGCTGACCGACTATAATTTAAAGTTCATTGATATCCATAAAGCCCAGGGCAAACCCTCCGTCTCCTTCCCGTGCCCCCCATGCAAATCCGCTGCTGTCTGTTGCCCATTTGTTGCAAATATGTTGCAGTGCTTTCGGGGTGCCCCGGATATATAATACATCCCATACCCAAACCCACACCCGATAATTTCCCGGAGGACGGACGACCGGCTCGTGCCTGTTTTCGATTTATGGCATTTCTCTATCATTTGCATTTTACATATAATTTCTGATCAGTTGTTATCTGCTTGATTGTGATTTCAGCTGGCCCTAAACCGAATGTGCAGTTTACTGTTGGTGCTTCACCTGCACTGAAAATATGTTATGGAAATTAAAGCATGTTGACTCAAGGACTCGAGGACTTAAATCCCGTAATCCAAAAAACACACCCCCAAAATATCAATTGCAAATTGCCCATGGAAATAGTTCTGTGGGGCATAGAAAAAATTCCAATTACCCCCTAAGCGATTTCGAAATTGTTTGCGAATTGTAAGACCCTTCTCGTCAGCTTGACATAATGGCCAACATGTGAGGAGCCATTGTTGTTGCTGTTGTTAATAACAAGCGATAATAATCAACTTCCGTGCTGAGAAGTGAGTGGAGGAGAAAATACTGAAAATCCGAACGAAACTCTGCTTACCTGAGGGCGCCATCAGCTGAACGGTATAAGTTATGCAAATTTTATTCGGGGTCCGTTAACGGGACTTCCCCTATTCTCGGGTGGATTAAAAAATGAAGAACTTCGCGGCAAATAAGTTTGAAAAATGTCGAAGTGGCATCACGATAGAGGTGGATATTTATCACGTGTTAATTAATGTTTGCCTTGGAAATTGAATTTAACGTGTATAGCTTAAGAAGTTTGGTGAATGCATTTTTTATGGCCTTTCTTTGTATACCATCGTTATTTTAAAAAAAGAATCTATTACGACACACAATACAAAAACCAGGGGTTTTCTGTGATGGAAATTTTCTATAATTCAGCAGCTGATTATACACATTGGAGCTTGGGAGAAAAGGGCGCTGTGCATGTCCAAGACCATAAAAGTAATATACGACTCGGAAGCCACAATGTTGCCATGAGTAGCTCTTATTATTTGTCATAAATATTTTGCTCTGACTGAAAGTAGCTATTATAGAAGTTGAGCACAGAAGACTTTGATTATATGAAGCTTGTATTAGGTCAAGCAGAACATATTTAAATTATTTTGAAATTTAAGCACTAAAAAAATCTCTTCAGAAGATTCAAATAAATACAACCCTAGTCAAAAGTATTTTCTCAAATTTGAATGTTAACTGTACTCATATTTTGAACTTATAATATAAACATTTTGGCACCTATGGAAAGAGCACTTCAATTCCGTTTAAATGACAAAAAAATGTTCTTAACCCATTAAGCACCCTTTGAAAAGTGGGCAAATTAGACCATTTTTTTTGAAAGTCAAATTTTCAACTTTTTCTCTGGAGCTTAAAACAAAAATGTTATGATGCAAAGTTGTTCCCCAATCAAAATTAATAATAACTGCTAAAAAAAATATTTCAAAATATTTTTCCTTGTATTTTTTATGATTTTTTGAAAATAGGTATTTTAGCCGCTTTTTCTTCCTTTTCATACAAAATTTTACTGAGAGGTCTCCATTCAAAAAATCATAAAAAATACAAGGAAAAATATTTTGAAATTTTTTTTTTGCAGTTATTAATAATTTTGATTGGGGAACAACTTTGCATCAAAACATTTTTGTTTTAAGCCCCAGGAAAAAAGTTGAAAATTTGACTTTCGCAAAATTTGCTCACTTTTCAAAGGGGTCTTAATGGGTTAAGAACATTTTTGTGTCATTTAAACGGAATTGAAGTGCTCTTTCTATAGGTGCCAAAAGTTTATATTATTAGTTCAAAATATAAGTACAGTTAACATTTACATTTGTGAAAATACTTTTGACCACCCCTGTATGTTGGTCTTGTTTTTGGCTTATTTGTCAAACAATTTATTTACTACTTTTATTTTCCAGCCAATAATGTATAAATTTAAACTAGGAATTATTACAAAAATAACAAAATAACGAATAATAATCTTTATTTGAAAGCCGATATTTACATAATTGCGATTTACTAGAATGTATAAAGTAGGGGTTTGTATAGTCTTATTAATCGTAAAGAATAACTTGTAGGTACATTCAAGGGTTCATTCCTTACAATGGAGAAAATGGAGAAAACGATGACGATTTCGGGAAAAAAATCCAGTTACCCAACCTTTTCTGAAAAATTGAGTGTAATGTTTGTGTATCCTTGCGTGATTGTGCACACTATTATCGTACATCGGTTGCCAATTTTTCCGTTATTTTGTGTGTTTCAAAAATTATCATTTTTTTTTAAATATTTAATCTGAATGAATATTTCTCAGAAGAGTATAAGACCGTTAATAATTTGCAATGATCTCGATCGTCATCAGAACACACACAAGCCAAATGTTCAAAAAACAAACGCTAAATCTAACTATGCAAAGAGGGACTTTCGACACACTCGCCTCGATATGGCTTCGGATTGTGGTCAGGCTATGGGTCTGAAGGCACAGCCATCACCTGTCCCTGTCCCTGACTCCGACTCCTGACATGGCCCGCATGCTCTAAATTATTAATAATATTGCCATGCCCATTTGCTAGACATTTTTAGTGCCTGTGCCTACCGCGTTCCGAGTTCTTGCCCCCCTTAACCATTTGCAGTGCTGTCGCTTTCCTGTTGTCTTTTGTAGTCTACTTTTCTGGGCATGCAATGCGGATTTAAATGTATGTGTATGTATGACAAAGGACACATACCACACATGCCGGCAACTTTGCTTTCAATTCCGCTAAATTATGAAAAAATCAATATGAACTCAAAGGGAGGGGAAAAGGAATTTTAATGAAATGTCAGTTTAAAATGGTTCCTGTCAGTTTGCGGGCGCCAGAAAGTAGGCTTTTATTTTTTCCAAACGGAAAATCGTTTGCATGTAGACCTTCATGGCCGAGGCAGCTGGAAAGTTAATCAAGGTTTTCCAATCATAGGGGCGGACTTTGGAAAATATTGATATCTGAGTCGGACACCCTTCTACTTTTGGGTCAGAACTTTTTTAAGTTCTTTTATAAAAATAGTTTGTATAAAAAGTTCAGGATCAATATTGGATCAATAATAACAATGCTCAACGTTGTTTTTTTTAATATGTATATACGTATATAAACATATCTACATATTTACTTTACGATCCTAAGTATGGTGGTTATTATCTTAAAAAGCTGGAAATACGGCTCCTAATACACGTAAAATATTAAAGGGTATTTGGGTATCGACTCTCGAAGATATCTTAAGTCAAAACACTAAATGTGGTTCCTTTGTTCCAGCTGCAATTTTACAAAGACCATCATTTTTATACCCGTTACTCGTAGAGTAAAAGGGTATATTAGATTCGTGCAAAAGTATGTAACAGGTAGAAGGAAGCGTTTCCGACCCTATAAACTATATATATTCTTGATCAGGATCACTAGCCGAGTCGATCTAGCCATGTCCGTCTGTCCGTCTGTCCGTCTGTCTGTCTGTATGAACGCTGAGATCTCGGAAACTACAAAAGCTAGAAGGTTGAGATTTCCCACACATATTCTTGGGCTTCCTACGCAGCGCAAGTTTATTTTAGCCGAGTGCCACGCCCCCTCTAACGCCCACAATCGCCCACTAACGATTTTAAAATGTGTCTGGCGCCCACACCTTTTAAGATTTCCGAGAAGTATAAATGCAATTTTGTTGTGCATATTTATACCTATCGAAATGTAGAAGACATTTTTCAAATCGGACCATTCATTAAAAAGTTATACGCAATCCAAATTTCTATATCTATCTCCCTCGCACTCCCTTTAGCTGAGTTACGATTATTAGTCGGGACACCAACCCGACTAGTGAGTGACGGGTATTAGATAGTCGGGACACGAACCCGACTATAGCGTTCTCTCTTGTTTTAAAGTCAGTTTTGTTGTCCAGTGTAATAACCGACACAGAGAAATTTGTTCTAAACAATTCATTGTCATTGTGATGGCATATTTAGGCTTTAATTTTAATTAAATATTTATTTTGTCTATTCTTAGACCGCGATTGTATTAACATTGTCAGTGCTAAAATAATAAGAAATCTTACACATGCCTTCTTTTTATTTTTTCTTATAAATAGTAACAGTTGCGTTGCAATTCTGCAGGAAAGATCGTAAAAATTTATCTGTTTGTAAACATATTTTGCGCAGAGTAAAAGCTATTGACATGAATGTGTACAAAACGTATTTTTTTATGCTTTCCTTTGTTAGGCCTAGTACTCACTTCAATCGAAAAGCCTACGAAATGAAAATCTCCATACAAAATTTTGATCACGAAATTTTCCGCCTGTCATTTTTGTATAGAAATTTTCGTTTCGTTGCCTTTTTGATTGAAATGAGTACTAGGCATTAGGGTAAAAGAGATTTGCTATTTTATAGGATCAATTTTTAAAGATAATTGCCAATATTTTTTTGTATTGTATTTTGTTTTTTTGATCTTGGAATCGTAAAATCGTAATACAACATTTTTGTTGTATGTATTTTGTTGTTATCACTATGGACGGCAGTCCATGTAGTGACTAAGCGCACAAGGAGAGTGTGCAAAGGCGCAACATGATAAAAATGATAAAATGTTGGAAAGTGTGTTTAATGACGACTGTGATAATTTTTCGTCACAAATGTTGATATCAGAACTTTTGTATGTTGAAGGTGCGATCGTCACTAGTTTTTTACCTCGTTAAGATGTGTTTTTTTTGGATAAGAATACAATTTTAAATTGTTGGTCAACTTTTTTTTCTGGGCTTAGAGTGGTTAAGGTGTCTGCCCCATAATCTCTGGGTCTTTCTTCGATTAAAAAATAAAACTAATTAAAAAAATTGATAGGAAAAAACAAGTGATATTGTTAATGTACAATTTTACCCAAAGTTTTAAAACGAATTTCTGTTTTTAGGCCTGTATTTTCAAAGGACAAATTTGTGCAAGCGTTTTGCATATTTTCTAACTTTTTAAGCTTTGACGAGGTGTCGCTTCTAAACTAATGACGAACTCAACTTAAAGAGTTGAAAAAAGAAAAAGCTCAACTTACCAGTAAAATGAGTCTTTGATATCCGAAATCGGGTTATCAGCTCAAAATAAAAAATAAAAAAAAGGCCAATAACTTTTTTTACATAAAAACAAGAGAGAACGCTATAGTCGGGTGCCCCGACTATCAGATACCCGTTACTCAGCTAAAGAGAGTGCGAAGGAGATGGAGATAAAATCTTTGATCCGCCGTAACTTTTTAACGAATAGTCCGATTTAAAAAATGTCTTCTACATTTCGATAGGTATTGATAAACACCATAAAACTGCATTTTTAGTTTTCCGAAATATTGAAATTTTTAAAATCGTATATAGGCGATTGTGGACGTTAGAGGGGGCGTGGCATCCTTTTGAAACAAACTTGCGCTGCGTAGGAACTCCTAGAATATGCATGCAAAATGTCAATCTTCTAGCTTTTATAGTTTCCGAGATCTCAGCGTTCATACAGACAGACAGACGGACAGACAGACGGACATGGCTAGATCGACTCGGCTAGTGATCCTGATCAAGAATATATATAGTTTATAGGGTCGGAAACGCTTCCTTCTACCTGGTACATACTTTTGCACGAATCTAAAATACCCTATTACTCTACGAGTAACGGGTATAAAAATTAACACCATAGAACACATTTTAAGTACCCATTTCATAATAAGGAAGATGTATATTTCCGGAAAATTAAGGTTGTCTTTGATGAAGAAGTAGTCGATTTTATTTTGTATACTGGTGTCATTTAACACTTTTTTTATTTATAATTATTCGTGTATGCAATAGTTATTTTAAGTTCGAACTTAAATATATTTTGTTTAACAAAATCAACAGTCGTTTTTGTTTATGTTGTAGAGGAACGAAGTTGGTTCACATACGCAGACTGAATTTGCTAGAAATACAATAACTTATGTTTGGGATCGAATCGTGTGGAAGATCATTTATCTAAAAAAATAAAATATCCAAAAAATAAAAACGAATGACTTAGTGGGTAGAGCACCAAAACTTAGCCATTCATGACCCAATAAACCCTTTTCGCAAAAGTCTGATTACAACTGCATTGGCGAGCCTTGGCCCGCACAAGTTTTGTCGCCCATGTCACTCAAGAGGTGCCCTTAACTTAGCTCCGGCATTAAGCACAACTATTTCAGACCCATCAGTGGTACGTTAGGATGCACGATTTGATGCTTTATTTACGAGTTCACAGCGATGCGGCTGGCAACGAAACATTTCATTTCCGTTCCGTAAACAGTTTTGCCCTCCGGCCACGTTTAAAAGCCGTGAAACAAAACGAAGCGGGCTAAAATGAAATGAGCAGAGAGGCAGAGCATGCAACACCTTTTCCAGAAGATAGTTGCAGGTTGGTAGTTAATTTCTGGCAGCTGTTCGCCTGCAGAATTTACACAGCCAGAACACGCAAAATAAGCCAAGAGCGAGGGTCTACAGCCGGAGAAAGAAATATATGTTGAGCCCGCCTCGATTCGGTACGATTCAGGATACGTCCGGATTCCGGAGTACGGAGAGGAAGGCCGTTGGCCCTCCGGCTCTGCTTTAAACTTGAAACTTTTTAATTTGGCGTATTTTCGACCGGCATCGCGATTATTGTTTGCCATTGTTTCGTAGTTTTGATTCTGTTTTCAAGTACTTTTTGTTGAACTTTGCCCTGTTGCCTGTTTACACGCATAAATAGCAACAGCAATAGCCAGAAGTTGATGCCATTAGAGGGGCGCTAATGACTGCCAATTACGAGGCGCGCGGATATTGCCCACTCAACCCTCAACCATAATTTGAAGAGGTTACAGGTGCTGGGGATTTTATGAAAGTGGAATGGCTGAATTTCGGTGTCCTTGTTTGTCTTTTTACACCCCATTTAAGCAGATGTAGTTTTTTCATCAGTTCAAGCAACAGATCAGGATTGAAAATTAAAATATATATAAATTCATAAATAATCCAACTAACCAAATAAATTTTTTGTCTAAAAGAACACAGTTTATAGAGTAACTGCCTTGCTTAACAAAAAATCAAACGAATAAGAGAAGTCTAGAAATGTTTAACATGATTTCTTACAAAAAGCTTTACAAGTGATTATCCGCTAAGACAACCCAATGGTTTCCGGTCACTAACCAACTCAATCAAAGAAAGTGAAGAACACATATCCAAAATGCAAACAAAATCCCCCCAATACCGTGCCCAAACCTGTGCAATAAATGTAATACTGCTCTTAATCCTGATGAGTCAGCAATGCAATCCTCAGAGAGTGGAGGTGCCAGCTGAAGTAATCGGTAAGTCAATTTATTGGAGCTTATATAGAGGGCGATTGTTGAAGGGAAAACATCTTAAAATAACCCATAGCAGCAACTTCTTCTGTTTGATAGAAGAATAATTTTTAAATTCGCCACAAATTAGGAACAATAAAGATTTTTCTTAAGAATTTTGGGCGGACGGGTTTGGTATTCTTTTAATATTTTTTTGAAGGGGTAAATTTAAATTTTAATTTACCCTATTTTTGCTTCTAGTAAACTTTCGAAAAAATGATAATTTACTCTATTTATAATAAGCCATTATTAAGCGCTGACCGACATTTTTCGATTTCCCGAAAATATTTATATTTAACATCCCATGGGTATACCTAATTGTGGGATTAGGAATGATTATTTAAGCCATCCCAATTTGCATTATATTCCAATTATTTGCCAATCAAGCATAACCACCCTCTCAAAACGAATATCCCTTGACTTTATTACAGTTGATCCCAAATTTAGTTCTCCAATTGTGAATATGACAGCGCCCGTGGGACGTGATGCCTTCCTAACGTGCGTCGTTCAGGACCTGGGTCCTTACAAGGTGAGTAGAGGGGGCAGCCAATCCGTTGATAACTGAACTTAAATTAGCAAATCAGCTCGGCAGTGGTTCCGTTATACACATCCGCATCCCACATCCACTTCCACATCAACATCCACATCGCTTCGAGCCGTGGGCTCAATTACACACTCAATAAGCAGCCACAAAACCGAAACCGGCCGCATTAATATTCATTAACATTTCACCATCCCCGGACACAGCCGTGTAATCTCAAAGACCAAATCTCGACACCCAAAAGCGGGCAACAAGAGTTGAATGGCAGTCGGAATGAAAGTGAAAATAAAAACATAAATAGGGATATGCCGGGCTTACTGGATGACAAAAGCGAAAATCACATAAAAAGTAATTGAAATATGAATGAGGACGTGTTAAGCGAGTCCGGACCGGAGTGGCGTCCTCGTCCTCGTCCTCCCCCTCAGTGTCTGTGTTTTTATTTGTGTTTGTGTTTGCATTTGCATTCGTTTGTCTCGTTGGGGGAGCAAGTGTATCCGTATCCGTGTATCCAGCTCCCAACTCCCCGGCAGGTAACAGCAAATGTACGAGTGGATCTCCATTGAAGTGAAAAGCTTTGTCCTCTCCCTTCGCAGGGGTTGGCAGGTCCTGTGTAGTTCGGAAAGGGGACGCCACCCCTCAGTCAGTGCCGTGCACAATTAAGCAATGTTCCGCTCAAAGATAATTGAGCAGGCACTTGGGTGTAATTACTTACTTTATGCTGACAGCCTGCTGGGACCCAAAACAAACCCAAATTCAATTTAAACCAAAATAATTCATTAGCCTTCGATTGGACCGGCTGGATATTAGCCGGTATTTAATTTATTTATGTGCATACTTAAATATGCGGTTTCACAAATAAGTCAAATAGCTTCACGTGTTGACATGTCGGCCGTATGGAAAGGAATGGGCAAAAGTCCCCCGGCAGCTGAGCTACGATGCCTCATTTTCACATGCAAAGGTCGAAGCAAAGGGTTGGACTCCTTCCACCCCCGTATTCAAAATATTTCTGCTTTTTAGCTTACAAGCTGCGTGCTTTATCGCATAATAATTTACCTGGGTAATTGTACAATTACGGGCTCCTCGTCGGGACTGTGTGCCAGTGTGTGCGTGTGGGCTAAAATTTCTTGAATAGTTCTGGGAATAGATTTTTAGTGTATAATTGAACAGCGTTGCATGCTAGTTATGTTCAATTTGGGAATGTGATTCATGTTGACGAACTGCAATCGCAACTTGGTGCTAGATAACTAAATCACCGGAATGTGATACGAGTCTGGGATTTTATTAGTCATATTTAAATTACTCTTAAACAAACTTGCAGATAGTGTGCAATAGAAAAGCTTAGGTAAAAATAGTTCTGATTACATACAATCCATGGATTCAAGACTAAACCTAAAATAACTTTACCTATAGAAAATTACACCTAACATTAATTTAATGGTAAACCTTAAACGGTAAATTTCAACGAACTTTGCAACTTTTTAATGCGTTTTCATAGAATACTATCCAATAATGTCGCTGTAAATATTTATTAAATAGTCAATAAGGCATTGAGTACACAAATCTGTCACATTTCTATGGTATAAAATAAAATAAATAAAATACGATAGGGTTCTGTTATTAAAGTTTATCAAAATGTGTTTGAATTGCATAATTTAGTCGATGATCGAAGTTAATGTTTGACTTTCTAGAGGAAATTCTCAAATGTCGTTGAGAATTGTTTGTTACATTGTACGAGCTCTCCATCCTCTAATTATTACCTAATCTTCGCTTAACAGGTTGCGTGGCTTCGGGTCGACACACAAACCATTCTGACGATACAAAATCATGTTATAACAAAAAACCAACGCATTGGCATCGCCAACTCTGAGCACAAAACCTGGACAATGCGCATTAAGGACATTAAAGAGTCGGACAAAGGCTGGTACGTACACTAAGTGAATACCCCGATTCGTCATAATAATTGGTAATATTTCAGGTACATGTGCCAAATCAACACGGATCCGATGAAAAGCCAAATGGGTTACCTTGATGTTGTGGGTAAGTGGATGGGGGAATTGCCAGGGGTTTATTTTTTGCTCATTACGTTTCGGCTGTCAAACAATCATACGCCTCGTTGCCGGGACTGGCTCTCCCATTGTTCGAACTACCGTTCCGCGAAACAGAAATATTAAAAAACAAGAAAGGAAGCTACCTTCGGCCAGCCGAAGCTTATATACCCTTGCAGATAAAGTAATACTCACTCGGTGCAGTTCCAGGGATTCCAGATTCAGCGTTTCTATTTTTGAATTTTGTTTTTAAGTAGTCAAGAATTAAAACGCCTACTTCCTACAAGTAACAATGAATTTTCTTATATATGCTTGAATATTCCTATGGGAGCCTTAAGATATAGTGGTCCGATCCGGCTCGCTCCGACATATGTACTACCTGCAATAGAAAGAAGACTTTCGGGAAAGTTTCATCGCGATAGCTTTAAAACTGAGAGACTAGTTCGCATAGAAACGGACAGACGGACAGACGGACATGGCTAGATAGACTCGGCTATTGGTGCTGATCAAGAATATATATACTTTATTTGGTCGGAAACGTCTCCTTCACTGCGTTGCAAACATCTGACTGAAATTATAATACCCTCTACAAGGGTATAATTAAATGCAAAGAGAAGAAATGAGTTGAACAAAACGTTTCTGCCGTGCGCAAAAAAGAGAATAGCACTTGCCCGAGTATGGGAGTCCGTGGCTTATTAAATTCCACTGGCTAATACGACAGGACCAGGAGCCAGAACCCCTGGGCGACTTTCATTGCGAGTGCTTAAACATGTTTAACCGTCCACTGAACCGCAGAAATTGTTGATTTTGAATTAAAACGGCAACGCAGCAGCGAGAGGCATCGTAAGAAATACTCCCGGCCTATGAAGTGTTCACCGGGCACATTTGGGCTGTCCATTTGCGGTCGGGTCTGCCCCCATTCCAAACCCCTTCGCCCCTGTACCCCGCACCCATACCCGCACTCAACTCAACTGCCTAAATACCTCTCGCTGGCGAATCTAAATCAAAGCGCTAAATATTTTAGCCACCATTGCAGTCGGCGCGGCATTCACCGGCAAACACGAAAAAGTATAATCAACTGTGTGTATTTGCACTGGATAATCAGCGGGCCCTGGCACAGTGGGTCTAAATTAACTGAAAAGTGTAAATATATTTTTTATGTTGCCAAACCCATTTGCAATTTTTTGTATTATTGGATTTTTTCTTGAGTTCGCCTAGATAAACTTGCAATCCTTACAAAATAAAACCATGTATACTTCTAAAAAAAGCATCATAAAAATTAGATGCTTAAATCCCGTAATTGGTCCATTTTTAATTTACAAAATATAAATTTATATACATTATTTTTAAATGTCCAATGTGGTATTGGTTTATACTGTTTAGCCAGCCTCGTTACCACTGTAACCCGCTCAAAATGGTTGCGAGGGAAATCCAGAGGAGCCGGAAAATCGGCCACGGAAACGTTCGAGTTTCGAACAAGTGGAGGGTGGATTGTGGACGGTGGTCGCTGATGATTTTCGTGACCGAGTGCAGTTAAATAGTAGACGACAAACCGTGGCGGAAGCGGCACAGCTCTCACCTTTTTGGATTTCCAATGGCTCCCCTCCTGTCTGCTTCTCTCCACACATCAGGATGTGCACACAGGAGGGGATTGGCTTGTACCCTCATGGCGGCCGGCATTTGGGACATTTAAGCAGATGAAATATTCATATTAAAATGTCAAAAAAATTTAGATTTCCGTTATTTGTAGTCAGCCCTAGTGCGAGTTGTTAACAATTAAAGCCCCAAAACAATGCAACTGAGCAGGCCATCATCATTGGTTTTGCTTACACCGCCCCACCTTGTTTTCCGACAGTTCAGAATGGATCTTTAGAGCCGAGACCCACCACCAGTCCAGTTAAGTTTCTGGGGCTGCAATTCGCCCGCTCCCAGGCTAACCTTGGCCACTTAATGACCATCCAGTGGTCACCGGCCACCACACGGACTGACTCACTCGCTGCCGAGCTTAACAAGCTGTTTGTCAACACCAGCACATTTTTTGGTCATTTACCGACCACATAATTGCGGGATATTATATGCATACAATCCAGGGACCAGCCCCCTGGTCGTCCCACCACTCGCCTCGACCTGGTATTATTACGTTTTCACGGTTCATAGGTTTTCCGCTGTGGCTGTCCGTCCGCGCTTCTGTCCGCTGTCCTTACCGCAGCGACGGTTGTAATAATTTGTGTGTTTCGGGACATGTGAAAAGTTTGTCCTTAAAACAAAGGCAAATGCGAGGACTGAACTTCCCAGTTCGCCCGAGGGTTGAATGCAGGCGGGAATATCATGGTGCTGATGGTGGCGGACCAAATGAATCACTGCCTCTGCCCACCCAAAGGGCGAGCTAATTATTTTAATGAAGAATTACAAATTTAAAATATTTAAAACGATTGCAGTTCATTCTCAAAGGCCCGTTCTCTCTTCTTTTTCCCTCTGTCTCTTTACATGTGAAATGCATTATTTTCGTAATGTTCGTTATAAATATTATCTAACCACGACAAACGTCTGGCGACCTCGATGGCAACCCGATGGCAAACCGATGGCCAACTGTTGTTGCCGGCTGCAGTACCGCCGGATATCCTAGATTATCCTACGAGCACGGACATGGTCGTTCGCGAGGGCAGTAACGTGACGCTCAAATGCGCTGCTACCGGTTCGCCAGAGCCGACAATTACATGGCGACGTGAAAGTGGAGTGCCCATCGAGCTGGCCAGCGGAGAAGAGGGTAAGTCGGGGCTCACATTTTGCTATCAAGAGTTTGCACACTGCAAAAAGTTTAAATGCACTGCCTATATCGAGTTTTATATCTACAAAATGTTGTTCCAAAAATATATACATTTACATTTCATTTTGTCAATTTTTTAAATTTTCAGTTGGGTTTTTCCAAAATGTCTCTAAATGTCTTGCATATAATAATATTGTATTGAAAAGAGCTACTCACACAAAAAAAACAAGTCGCTGTCAAATCGATATGCGCATGGTAAATTATTGCATACGCATATCGACACATTCGAAACTCAGACTGGCCTGTTGTTTATTTTCGAGCACATAAATATTTGTTACTGATTTGTTGATTGAAGAAGCCAGTCAACAATTTGTTTGCCAATTTATTTTTAATTCCCAACTTTAACAAATTAAGTCAGACATTATTTACAACGATTGTCTAATTGTACCTTTTATTGAAAAAATTGTGATGTAGTTCGGTCAAAGAAAATATGTATATTAATTATCAAACGAATTTAATAATCATTCAAAATTATGTATTAAAATATTCGACATAAGTTCAGTTAAACAAAATATTTTTACAAATTACTAAACGAATTTCTTTAAATAATCATAAAAAATTATATCCAAATATTTTGTTTCTTTGAAAATACCTTTCAGCTATAATAGCTTTACCTTTCCAGATGTTTTTTTTCTGCAGGGTTGTATTGCTGATAGCTTCTTCCAGTTTCTCACAGTACTGTAAAGCCACCCCCTGTTTGCGCCCACCCTTCTGATTTGTAAGTACCTGTGCTGTTGTTGCCGACTCCACATAGCCTGCATGAGGCTTGCCATCCAACATTTTGGAGTACTTTTACACAAAAAGGCAGCGGCAACCGAGTTGGCCATCAGCAGTTATAGCTGCAAGCTGGCCCTAGGCCGAGTACTGCCCAAGGCTATCGAGTGGCGGGTGGTTCGTGGCCATGGCACCTGCACCTGCACCTGCAGGCTGTAGAATGCTTGGCTGTTTGGCTGTTGATGATGATGACGTCTGACTGACAGAATTAGCAAATGGTTAGGGACCGATCGTTGGTGGTGGCATGGTGGCAACTGGCGGTTGGAGCAGACCAGATTTACTAATTGGCCTTGAAGTGTTCGTCAGTTGAGAGGAGTGGCCAATTCGAAGTTCTTAATTTGGAAAGTTAGGCGGCCGCAATAACAAGTTCCATTATAATTTTAAAATTGTTTGTTTTTAAAAAGTGAATTTCAATTTGAATTTTATTCGCATCACTTTCTGTTTGAGATTATAAGCTTTTTTATTGGCAATTATAATTTTTAAATTTATTTTAAATTTGAAAAAAAAACAAAGTTTTGGATATTTCTGACTTCCTGATTTCTCACCTCGATTTTTGACTTATTTACTTATGTTATTAATAAAAAGCAATCCACTAAGCATAGTGGGCTGTAACGTAAAAAAAAACAAAAAATTTAACAAAGGCCATAAAAAGCACCGAAAGCAAAGTAATAAGTGAACTCAAATCAAAGGTGCTGCAGAAAAGATCCCCTTAAAACCCCCAAAACAGCAAATGTAAAACCAAAAAGAAAACTCATACGGCTAAATGAGAGGATGCAAAAAATCAGCATAAAGAGAACAAAAAGCTGGCAAAATGACCTTTTCGCCGGGGCTTAAATGGCTGCCACCCAGTTCAGCCCTTTCTCGGCCAAACGAGTCTGCTTCCTGTCCGGCAACTGCACTGCCTCTTTTCCGTTTCCCCGGCTTCATTCGTGTGTGCTTGTGTTTTGCAGCCAGTGGGCTAGACAAGATTGGAAGTCAGGGGGTGCCATGTATAAAGTTTGTCGGCGATGGAGAGTGTATAATATGAAGCTTTACCATCGGATACGGCCTGCCTTTAAATGTTCGTTTGTATTTCATGTGCGCGACTTTTATTTAGACTGTTCTTTTCCATATAAAAGTAAAGTCAACAGAGTTAGATACAATAAAATTATAATGATAAACTTATTAATTTTGCCTTAAATAAAAATATTGTTATTTTTACTAAAACTATAAAGAAATTTTCAGAATTTGTATAATGTGAAAAAAAATATCAGGGGCGTTTTATTACCAATAAAATGGTTTCTTGCTGGTCGAAATTAGTATAGTAAAACTTTAAAAAAATACTACAATTTTTAGATAATTTCATTTTAGACATTTCATTGATCAGGAAGTCCTACATAACCGGCAAGCCAAATCTCTGATCTCTAGTGCAAAATTGGGATTTAATTTTGTAAACTGGTGCTATCAAATCTCTTTTACCAAAGAGAATTTCCCATTCCGTTTGAACTTTTTTCTATTTTTTCGATCCCCCCTTTTGTTTTTCTGACCAAAGTTTGTTTCATTCGAAATTTGATTATTTCGTTCCGTGTTCGTCGCTGCTGTGAAATAAAATGAAATCGGCTGAACAGAAGTAAAGTTTTATGCCATGGCGGGGCCCAAACAAAATTACACGTATTTCGTGCCTATTACGTTTAATGACCGCACTGTGAACCGTCGCAACCGAACAGAAAAAAACATCGGGCTGGGGAGTTCGGCTAATAAGCGACTGGGTTGGACTAAAAGTGGACCCCGGGCTCAAAAGGCCAAATCAATAAACGAAAAATCAGCATATTATTAGGTGCCACAACTTTACCTAACAATATCAAGCGCAAACTAGCCAGAACTTCCGGTTCCGGCGCACCCAAACAGCACCACACTCATCCGTATCGTCGTCTGTGGGGTTGCTCAATTCCGTTTATATAATGCAAACCTCGGTTCCACTATGATAGCAGGATGTTTGTTCGGAGCACGAAAACGCCGAGCAGTGACATAAAAAGTCACCAGCATCCAGCATCCATTACATATAATTTTGTTATGTTGCAGTCAACTTTTGTTGAATGCGCAGCACTAGAGCTGCACACATTTAGTCCCCAGCTTAGAAAAATGTTATTACTACTATAATAATGGCAAAGTTTTGCTCATACTTTTGTTGTTAGGAGGTAATTACAACAGAGTATTTCCGTTTATCCAACAAATAACTTTTTAAGAGGAAATAACTGTCTATATGAAGTAGAACGCAAATCTTTTTGATATCAAGCTTTAGCCGAAAACGTATAGCTTTAAAATATATTAGACTGTGAAGTTACTCAATAACAAGAAGGGAAGCTTAAGTGCGCTAAATGGTATAAAATACAACATGATTTATTTGATTAGTTCATCAGTTTATTTTAAACCCCGAAATATTTTCTTTGAGGGTATAATTGAGGGTATTTTTAATATACATTTTTTAATATAACACATTTTTACAAAACTTTAAGCTTATACACCTTCTTTTTCTAAAAACTACCTGATACCATTATATTTAAACTTATCTCGAAAAATATACTTTCAGTTGTGAGTATCGAAGGCACTGATCTAGTAATACCTAACGTAAGACGTCACCATATGGGCGCCTACCTCTGTATTGCTTCCAACGGAGTTCCACCCTCGGTGAGCAAACGGATAACGCTTGTCGTGCACTGTAAGTTTTAAGCACTATATAGATAAGATTATTATATAATTACAAACATTTCCTTCTTTCCAATTTAAGTCCCACCTATGATAACTGTACAAAACCAACTGATTGGAGCTGTGGAGGGAAAGGGAGTAACTTTGGATTGCGAGTCTGAGGCTTATCCCAAGTCGATTAATTACTGGACCAGGGAACGCGGGGAGATTGTACCACCAGGTGAGAAGTGTAGCTTGTACCAAAAGAAAATCTAAAAGTAAGCCATTAAAATCTCGACCACAAGACCATTTAATTTCCTTATATAAGTACGTGTCAAAATGTACATGATTTATCCTAAAATTAAGGTCAATGGACTGTAAGGAATATTTTGCTGAGTGTAGGCACTATTAAAATAGAGGGGATTTAAGTTAAAAGATTAAATTACTGGTAGCACTAACAATTCCTTAATAATATATATTTTTTTTTCGTCAGTGTAACCAATTAATTCATTTTTTGTTTACAAATCAAATCAATTTTGGAGGCCCATATTCTTATACAATGTAAGACTTAAGAATTTATGATTTTTCTTAATTGTTTTACGAACTACGAACGGTTTGTTTTAATTAAAAACGGACTCAGATGTTTGACTTTTACCGTAAATATTCCTTTCTGATCCTTACAGAAAGTTAATTTCAGTGCTAAAATTATCTCTTTACATAAGCCTAATTACTTATTTGCATTGAGTACCATCGCTTTATTACTCAACACTCAGAGAATGCTAGGGGACATTTAAAAGGTCATAAACCGTGACGAGCACATTAGCACATTAGCACTAAGCCCGAAGCCAAATCAGACCGCCGACCAATCCCTGGGAAGAAAAGTTCGCAGCTTTCCCAGCGGAGCACACGACCAGCTAACCGGCTAACAAACTGATGACCGCCGAGTGCAAACTCGACAGACGCAGACACACCAAAAAAGTTGTTAATTAGCTGATTTAGACGCGGCACTAGCACTAGGAAGCAGATACTCGCCAGACAGGACCTCAGTCCTGCGGTTTCCCGAATGTCGGTGAACGCGGCGATGGCGATGGCAACGATGGCAATGCAATGGCTCGAAGATGTGGATGTGCTGGATCCGCAGCCGTTGTCATAACTGGGAATTAAATTAATTTACAATTTTGTTTCTGGCAGATTTTAATTGACACCAGAAAAACCGAATCAGCCCCACTCGCCCCACTCATGCCTCCGGTGTGACATGAGTTCGTGCATAAATTTATGCCTGTCAGCAACATTGTTGAAACTTTTGCCCGCCCGTACTTACGGTCGATGTGCGCGTGACATGCATTTAATTATTAAATAACGCAAAATTTCAATTAAATATTAATTAGTTTATTATTTTAATGAAATATTAACTCAGAAATCAAACCCCTCGCCCTCGCCCCCGCATTTCAGGTGGAAAATACTCCGCGAATGTCACGGAAATTGGCGGCTATCGCAATTCGATGCGGCTCCACATAAATCCCCTTACACAGGCCGAATTCGGGGCTTATCGCTGCGTGGCGAAGAATTCCCTCGGCGACACGGATGGCACAATTAAGCTATATAGTAAGTAGTTCTAAGAACCCATTGTAGTTCGGTTGCGAGTTGAGTTTGCGTTTCGTCACCAACAGGAATACCCCCAAATGCCGTCAACTATGTGGAGAACTTTGAGGCCCGGCACAAAGGTGAGTAATACAGAGCAGTTTAATAATACTTGGGTTTTACTTTTCTATAAGATACAAGGGCTGCCACAGAAATTCTTACGTTCAAAACTAAACAGAAAAAGAAATGACAAAAGATCAGATCTAGTTATTCATATAATTTTGATATGAATAATGATTATGTTTATCTTATTTTACAATATTTGTTCAAGAAATACTACATTTGGTATTTTAGAACCATATTTTTATAACTTTTTTGAAATGATTTAATATAAAGTTGATACGTTTAAATCATAAATTTAACATTAATCATAATCATAATCATAATTTTTATTGATATGAAATAAAGTAGAAATTACGGTATTTCATATGGAATATTTTTCGGTGTATGAATTCTTCCCGATTTCTGAGGGCACCCCTTCGGAAAGAATTCGATACGCCGAATACCCTTCATTCGAATCTCGAACCTGGTAAGAAAATTGGGCTACCCAACTCCCAAAAGTAGAACGAACGAGACAGAGCGCGAGAAAAGAAAAATTTAATAGCCACTTGGCATAAATTTAAGATGAGCTCGAAACATTCAACTTGGCTCGGCTGGCGGGGCAGGAATCATGGGAAATATAAAGCTGGGCGAAAAAGTAGAAGGCGAGCAAAAAAACGCATAAATAATTCATATGCCATGCAAATCCGTTTCAAATCGTCAACGCCACGGATCAGGTGAATGCTGGCAGACGAGTGGCGGTGGAAGTGGAAGCTGTGGTTGAGGTCAAAGCTTAAAACTCGGGAGTGGGAAACTCGAAACTGGGAAGAGCAAACAGCAAACAGCGACAGGTCTATTATGAATATGCATCGCAGATGCGAATCCTTTTCGGCAGTAATTTAAAGATACTCAGCGCCTGTGGTGCGAAGCCCTAATAAACTTAACCGCAATTCAATAATTTCTCGTTGCACAGGCAAGAAGCGAACGAAAAGCTCGGAGTCGCATCATCCGGCCAGAGCCCAGGAGCACAGTGGCGAGGATATGGAAAATCCGGGAAAAAGAAAAGGTAAGAGAAAAAGCAGAAAGGAAAAAGGAGAGAGTGCGGCGTGCCGATTAGGGTTATGGGCCATATTTCAAGCATTTGCCCTGCGGTTTGGGTCCAGCTTAACAGGCCACTTGAGACGGGACGAATGCCATAAAAAAGGGGACCCACTCCCCACGTCACTGTTTAACGGATTTTCACACTAATTTGCAAAGCAGAAAGACCCACAGAAAGTGGGGAATGATGAGAGGATGCGGCCGAGTGAACAAGCATACTTTTTCGGGCCAGGTAGCAGGTAAAAGTTTCCCTTATTCCGGGTCTCGGCGAATAATTGTATATCAATAAACACGCTCGGCTTGGCTTTATGGCAATTTAATGATTTGTAAATACTTGGCCACAATCAAATAAATTCTTTCCCAGTCGTTGGTGGCCGAAAGTTGAAATCACCGTGCTTTGCTTTTTTTATTGATTAAATAAGTGGCAGGAGAAGTACTTTATTTTGAAGCTAAATAAATTGGGCCCTCTGTTAATATGATAGCTTAAAGATGATTTGAAATACAATTATGATTTAAAATTAAGGTTGTCCTATGAACAATCGACTATCAGATACCCCTTTACTCAGCTACGAAAAGTGCGACAGAGATGGAAATATGCACGCTTGCACTGCTTGAATTCCATTATGTGCTCATAACTTTTGATTAAATGGTCCGATTTGAAAAATTTCTTCTACATTTCGATAGGTATTAATAAAATCTATCAAATTGCACTTTTACTTTTTTTACGAGTAACGGGGTATAACCATGTTAACAGATTTTAGTGGATAATATTTACTGTTCATTTACTGTTGTTAATACGCCATATAGCAAAAATAGGGGCAAAGTATTTCCAAATTGTTAAACACCGAGCTCGCAAAATTGGAAAGTGCCTGTGATTCCGTACACAAACCCACCGCAGGGCAAGTTTTTCCCACCCCAACTAACCCCTAACCACCGACCTGGCCAGCTAATCAGTTCACTCAAAAGCCTTATCCAATTTCCGCTGCTGCCCAGCCATCCCATTAACATACGAGTGTCTCCGTCTCCTCTTCCCGCAGCCGATTTGAGTCTGAGTGCGGAGAGTATTGACAGCATTTACGGATCCTCGGCAGCTGGGACTCGGCGGCAGGACCTCGGCGGTCTGCTGCTCCTGCCAGTGACTTTGGCCATGGCACTGGCACTTGCGACGACGGGAGTGATGCGGAAAACTCAGATGACACTGCCGCCACAAACACTGACGCATGTTTGACACAGACGCCGAGTTGACATGGACATGGAGTCGGCGCTAAATCTGAACTTGCTGCCGGATCTGAAGCTGGAGCTGGAGCAAGAGCTACAGTCTGTGGCAGTTGCAGGGGCAGTGCAATGATGATTGAGTTTGTCAATGCCAAACGCTGCTTGGCGCTGATTTATGGCTCGTTGCGGCTGCTTTTAGTTAAAGTTTGTCAACGCGGAATTACATATATCACAGCCATGATGCGGAACGCGGATCATCGCGCATCTGTAGCCAGTAAGTCAACTAGGCTTCCTAATTCCCAATCGCGCGATTATTCAGCAGTTGGATTCCAGCTAAGGCTTCAGTGCAAACTTTGTAAAATATCGCAGATTGCAAATCAAGTACGGCACATGTATATAGACTTATGGCAAGGTTTTTGTTTAACTCTAGCAGGTAAAGGGGCTATGTATTATATAGAGTTTGTATAAACCAGAGTTAAAGTGACTTTTAATTCCAGTTTGTTTCGTTTCCAATGTCTTCGAAAGAGAATTAAGGAAAATATATCATACTTACACAGGAGTTTAAACCAGTATTTAAGTAAAAACTACCCTATTCGGTATACAATAGCTATATCGCAAAACTGCAAACAGAAATTAATATCCGCCAAAAGCTTAACAGCTTTAATGTAAAAACCAAAATTATATATTAATTAATTAGCTCAGCAGCTGGCTGTGTTTCCCGAGGACTTTCTCCGTTAACAAGGCTTAATTTGTTGTTCTACGTCGCTTCATTGCTCCTGAAATTCCAAATGTTTAACAATTTTTAACTCTAAAATTAAAATAAATTGAACACATTTTATTTTGGTTTTCCTTCTAACAAAAATCAATATATTTAACAAAAAAAAATGATAACAGAAATACATTTCAGTTATTTAATGGTAATATAAAAATACTATACAGGCAGTAAATTTAATGCAAGAATTAATCTGACGACTAAGTGCGGATAAGGCTCCATTTAATATAGCTAAATGTATATTTCCAGACAAAATTAAATTGTTAAAAAAGCAAAATATATCAGTTATGTTTATATTGCTATTATGTACACAAACATACATACATCTATCAAATATCGATATTAATGAGTATTTGTAAGCGACACATGTACATGACAGTGTAAGCAAATTGCCGAACAGACAGGAATATTTATAAAATAAATAAAAGTTTAACATTAAATTGTTAGGAATAAACGTGTTTTAAGTGCTTGGGACTTTAGACTATATTTTGGTTAATTTTTAAATAAACTATCAAAGAGTCTTAGGGAGAGCAATAATTTCAAATACATCTAACTGGGTACTAAAAAACCAAATTAAAAGCGGCTACAAATTTGAAATAAAGCAAAAAATGGCTTTCATTAAGAAATCTTTAAGTGCTGGCTAACACGCAAAACCAAACCATCAAAGCAAAGCCGAAATTAGAAAATACAACTCGGAAAACTCTTCAAAAAGCTCAGGCTAATAAAAGCCCTTTCCAGTCGGTGAGAGTGTGAGTGCAAGGACCTGCCGGTGTGTGTGCGTGTGTATTACGGCTAGTTTTTATTACATTTGTTTCCAGGAATTTTCAGACATGCCAAAACAGGTGCAACCGCAGCACCATTCGGCTTACGTGAGTTGCTTGTTTGCTCCTTTTTTAGTGCATTTTCATGGATTTTTCTCTCGCATGGTTTTTTCCTGCCCGAGTGGCGGGGTGCCATGACCCATGGGTATATCTGACAGACATTTTTGCATATAATCCATATAAATCTCAAGGTTAAAGTGTTGTAAATATGCATTTACCTCACCGGAGATTGGGTAACGTTAACCGTAGCCATTGCCCAAATGACCTAAATATTTTCGATTTTAATAATGTCAAAATGTTTCTGGGGTATTATGCTGGGTGGTGCAGTTGAATGTTGCCAGCTTGCTTAAAAAAAGTGATCAAAGTTTAATTCTCTTGCATTACAGGCAACGCTTATAACGAGTTTCAAACAGCTTTTATCGTTTAAAGTACCTGCAAATGGTAGATGTGTGTTAATATAAATCGATACAAACATTCAAAAAGTTCATGTTCCTGAAAAAGTTTTACTTGGTTTTAAAGGTAAAACTAAGGACTGTAGAAGTTATCACTTTTAAAATACAAGTCACCTGATAACTGTTATTTTCCCGACTTTTATTTATTAAGTATAAATACGAAAATACCTTTTCTTATATCTGTCCCAAAAAAACTATGAAAAGACTCTCTCAAGAGTAGAATATTGAAATTGGGGAATTCTTCAGTGTATGAATTCGTTACTGTAATTTTTGAGAGAGAGATTTTTTCAGAAAAGAATGGAAAGAAATCGCATTTCGATAGCCCAAAGAAACAAAGAAAGCAGATTTCTAACTACTTTATAAACAAGAGATGGAGATATGAAAGCAGCAAAGCGGACAGTCGCTTGAAGTGGCGACATCTAACGAAAAATTCATTATTTGTCCATAACTTTTTAGTGAGTATTCCGATTTAAAAAAATTGTTATAAATTATAGTTGGTATAACTACTGAAATCATTATACGGTTTTTTCTCAGTGTCCTGATTGCTTTAAAATATCCGTTACTGCTGGATGTTCTTCTTACACTAAAAATTTCTTAGTGCCTTATTTAATTCTCGAATTGCTCACCTTCATTCTGTGAAATTCAATTAACAGTAAGCAATTACACAAGTTTAGATACGCTACCCGAAGCAAATATATATTAGCATAATTACAGGTATTTTGCGAGGGGAGGCAAAGGAAATTCAAGCAGTGGCGCCAGTTGTCGGCAGCAAATGGCATCTGGCAGCTCTGAGTACAATTAACATTACTTAAATACACATTAAGGTTAAAGACGCGCAATTTCTTCATGTTTTGCGGCTATTTTTTCAGCGTTGAGTTGTTTATCAACTGAGGGGTCCTAAAAATTGCGTGACGCACAAAAGAAAAGCATTTCAACGCACAAAGCGAAGGGAGTGGGAAATGGCAGGAATTGGGGAAAAGGGGACTCAATGGTGAACAGGAAGGGCAATGAAAATAAACACAGTAATTAAGTTAATGAGCATTTTGAGATTTATTATTAATTTTCTTTTGTTCCCTCGGAATTGTGGTGCAAAAAATCATTTCGAAACATTTTCTGTGGTTATTTATTATAATTATCGGCAAGCTTTCGCTTTCGTCCTGCTTTTTTTCCTGCCTTTGATTTGCATTTAAAATACTCCGAGCTTGCTAAAATGCGCTAATCCGCATTCTGTATTTTGTTTTACAATAATTGTTTTATATTGTTTGTGGCTGCGTGCGTGCCCTTAATTGTTATTTAAATGCTTTGCAAATATTTTTAAATATTTGCAGGCAACTAACGTGATCTGAAAGCTTTGGTCGAAAATGTTTCGTTAATTTATAGGCAGTCGTAAAAATCAGTGCCGGCATGAACATTTTGTCATTGTGCCAGTGATTACGCCATTCTCATATGAAAAGGGCCCCATTTAGCAGTTGTCCCTAAATTTTACGATTTCGCATTAAAGTTTATAGCTTCGCAAGAAAATGTAAAAATTCGAAGCAGCTGAGGAAGAGGGCAATTCGTGACCCAGACAAAGTTGCCAACATATATATGAGTAATACGCAACTGAATACGCAACACTTGCAGAAACTATTAAAACAATCATGAAATTCAATAAAGGAATAGAAATATATGTTTGATTAATAAGCCTCAAATGAGCTTAATTTATTTATCAGTCACCGTACAGTTAGACAAAAAAGGCCCATTTAAGAAACATATCACAGCCCAAGACATTTTGAATTGAAACCATTATCCGCGGCTCACAAAATAATGATAGTGCTAATGACGAGAGGCCCGAAAGCGATTAGGCGAGCTCACAAAACGTGTAAACAAATTGCCAGCTTACTAAAGGACTAATCACCCGAAAAACCCTCCCTTCTCACACTCACATACACGCAAAAGCCCATAAGCTCCCTTGGACCCTGTCAGATAGGCCCCATAATCATGTCCGACTCGCTACCATCGTGTAAACAAAACTACAATTAATCAAAGATTTTTACCTAACGGGACTATATTACACGAGGCTTTGGTTAATTGCATAAATAAAACTCTGACGACCAGGGTGGATAGAAAAAAAGCTTAATTAAGCCTGCTCCACCACCTGCCGACTCCCCATGGACCTGGCAAATAAATAATAAAAACACAAATTGACACAAACGCACACAATGGTGGGGAGATGGGTAATGAAACAAACACGGCAATGGTCTACAAAATACAAGGACGGCATTGCCAACAAGGAAGTGCAGTGTCCTCAGACTCTGGGATTGGGGAGGATGAGGGACATAACCATAACAGACCCAGGCCAAAGGTTATCGTTTGTAGTTTCTTTCATGGGACGCAGTGAGCACTGCTTTTATTAACCTTCTTGGTCTGGGTACGTTAAGTGGTGCCACATGGCACTATCTACGGAGAGCTCTGTGTTTAGCCACTTAAACAATTTTAATTGTAATTTTTGGGTATGTGAAAAAATACACTTTTATACATTTTTATTCTACCTGCTTGTAGGGTACAAGTTTGTACAATCGTCTTAAAGGACCTTAAAAGAAGCCTGGCGCCCATATCTTTACGGATTTGTATTAGTGTAAGTGCCATTTTATAGTGCTTATTAATACCTATCGAAATGTAAAAGAAAATTCGTAGATCGGATGATTCATTGAAAAGTTTTGAGCAAATAATGGAATGCAAGCAGTGCAAGCAGTCTTTACTACTTGCATAACTTTATCTCCCTCGCACTTCCTTTTGCTTAGTATGGCTATCTGAGGCTATGGCTATGGCTATGACGAGGTGCTCGACTACAGAGTTCTCTTTTGTTTTTTTTTAGATTCCCCAGGCCGATTTATAGAGTTTATATGGCTAAAATGCGGGAAATTAAGGATCTTATATCGCAGACTGACTTTCTATGGGCTACTGAGCTATACAAGTTATATAATGACTCCCGAGGTTCTACAACATACAAATAAGACATAATTAAAGATGCTGATCCTGTGGTTTATTGGTTAACTTGCGAAGCTAAAATAATGTGGGATCCACCGCCACTATTGAAAAAACAAATATATAGTAGGTTTATAATATTTTGTCTGGTCCAGCAACCCTGGTGATGTCATCCTGACTTTTAGAACCAATGGTTCTTGTCCGTTTTTCAGCTTGAATGGGCGATGGACTAACGAACTTTTGAATGCGCAATTGATCTTAACGACTGCGCCCAGACTCCTGCGGATCGATGTTGGACACCCACTGCACGGGATTGATGTAAATGTTCGAGATGGTGCCGCGCAGTGTATCGAATCCCTGGTTGAGGGGCACCGGCTTGGCCCGCTTATCCACCTGCTTCATCCAGTTCTTCCAGGCGCCCTGCGAGCGCTGCTTGCGATCCTCCTCCAGCTTCTGCTTGTTGTCCTGCAGTCTGCGCAGGCGCTCCCTTTCGCTCTGCTGCTGCTGCCTCTTGACTCGCTCCCACTCCTGGATCCGTTGCTTTGTGACCTCGGGCGGTACTTTCTTCACGGGACCGACGCTCGAGCCGGAACCGAAACCGGAAGCAGATCCGAAACCGGAAATATAGCTCGAGGCCGAGGAGTTGCCCGAGCTCGACTGGCTGGAGGTGGAGGTCTTCTTCCGGTTGAGCTGCTGCTGCTGCTGTTGCTTCTGCTGCTGCAGCTCCTTGCGACGACACCACTCCTGGAAGCGTTCCTGGGACAGCTTTTGGCGCAGGGCCACCTCGGCCTCGCGCTTCTCGCGCTCCTGCTTGGCGGCCAGCAGGCTCTTCTGCTTCTGGGCCGCCTTGCGCGCCTTCCAGTCCTCGAAGGCCGCCTGGCCGTGGCGCTCCTTGCTCTCCTCCAGATTCTTGAAGTACGTGGACGTGTCCGAGGTGGCGCTGGCCAGGCTCAGCGAGGGCACGATGTTGCTGCGCCCATCGGAGGGCTGCAGGGCACCGCCGTACATCTCCGACCAGCTGCAGGTGGACATGGAGGAGCCGTCGTGGAGGCGATTGCTGCCCCTGTTACTCCCAGCGTTGCTCAGATTGTAGGTGCGACTAGACAGCTGATCCAATTCGAGGTCCGCTGGTGATGGCAGTCTCTTATCCTTGAGGGCAGACTGCTTGTGGTAGGTCCTGCCGCTGAGGCCATCCAGTTTGTCTTGCTTGAAAAACGTCTTGGTGCTGACGTTGTCCAGCGTGTCCTGCTTGAAGAAGGTCCTGCCGCTGACATTGTCCAGGTTTTCCATTTCCTCACCGCGCTGCGTCACCGTTGGCGTGCAGCTGTCGAAGGAGCTCAGGCTCATCACATCCTGGTCGAAGTTCATCACGGTCTCCGTGTCCGTGACAGCCGCATCATCCCCCTTGTCCATGCTCTTTTGATCCACATCCTCTGCAGGCACATCACCCGATTCCTCCGGATCCTCGTCTGTGAAGTTCATCATGCGACTACGCAAGGCATCGATGGCCTCCTCCTCTTCCAGTTGATTGCAGAAGCTCAGAATCGAATCCGTTTCACTGCCCGAAACGTCGGCTGGATCCTCCAGAGAGTCCTCAGTCGCTTCTTTGGGTTCGGGTTCCACCTCGCCATCGATCTCGGTCTCGCCGTCTCCCTGACCCACAAATCTCACGGTGGGAGCTCCGTATGTCCGGTTCGTATAGCCGAGCACCGATTCCGAATCCTCGTCACTAACATCCGACAAGGACAGCGGATGCATGGTGCGCCGACCAGACACCTGCTGACGATCCACCACCGAGCCATCGCTACTCCGACGCGCTACAAAGGCCATTCCGGCAGTCTGCGGAGAATCGACTAGAGTAAGGAGATGTGGAGATTGGTTCAGAAAGGAATTCTCTCGAGATGTCGAGACGATTTGTTGTGTCGGCGAGTGTCTGTAGACTGCTGATTGGTGAACTCTAAACACAGTCGAAGTGAGGCTTCCAGCACAGACTACTTAGCTGGTCGAGAGACGTGTGACTAAAATAAACCCATATTAACACAAAAAAAAATGTCAAATCGATATGCGCCTGGTAAATTTCTGGTATTGCCTTGCATTTCGTTTTTACCGAAATCTCTCTCTCTCGGAGATTCTCTGACTTCGAAAAAGAGAGAAAAAGCAATGGGGCGACTTAAATTACGTGAGTGGGAGCGAGACACATTCGAAATTCGAACTGGGCTGCTGCTTACATTTCGAGCATATCGAATTGAGGTGCCGGCATATCAACATCAAATCAATCATCATTTCATATCTTTTTTTTGGTGTAGTAAAATTGTAAAAACTTTCCCGGTTTTAATACAATTTTCAACGAAAATCAGAAAATATTATAGCAAGTAATTTTGATCAGATTTCTCGCCAGACACTTAACAAATTTGTTATTTTTTTCTGACTGCGCCACAGTGCTGCCATTTTGTCCTCTTTCCGGACAGATCTGTCCTTTTTTTAACGGGTTTATCCGGAAAAAATTTCAAACATCCCCTATCCGGAAATCTGTCCTTTTTTCAAAAAAAAGGTCTTGAGTGTTATTTTTGCCAGTCGAAAGTGTGTAAACCTGTTTTTATATGCTAAAACGCCTTTTTAACCATCAATCTTACAGTTCGGCACTTAAAAAATAATTATTTTTACAAATTATCAAAGAGACGTAAAGCAGTCGATGGATTTTCTATATAGTACGATTTTTTCTGTAGCAAAAAAAGAGAAAATCACTTTAAAAATTTCTCAATTTTTACTCTCTGCTTTTTTGTCAGAAAAAAATTTCAGATTTTAACGACTTCTAAGGCCGGTTTCTCGAGTCCCTGTCAAAGTCCCTGATAGCTATCTGTTCGAAAAACTTAAATACCAGATAAACTGTTCGTAAAAGCAAATCCGCTTTCTCGACTGCTTTAATTTATCTGAACGAGAAACAATTACAGAGTGCTGTTTACGCACAGAATTGTGCTGTGAAGCGCAAAAAATGGCATGCTTCGATTATTTTATCAGCTGTTTGGGTATAATTTTAAGGAAAAGTCAGCTGTGATTTCGTTTCTTCTTCTTAGTTGGCTTTGGGAAATCAGCTGTCATTCTATCGAGTCGAAAACGCTTAACAGGGACTCCGAGTCCCTGTCAAAGTTATCTCTCACATTTATGCTCGAGAAAGCCAAAATGCCTTAGCAGGGACTTTATCTGTTCGAGAAATGTTAGCCGGCACTCGAGAAACCGGCCCTTATTCGGGTTTGACGCAGATATGGCATTTTTTTGTATTACCAATATAGTTACTTGAAATGCTTTTATTATTTTAATAATTTTAGATTATTACGTATACGCACAAAAATTAACCATGGTAAAATGATCAAACAAAGAAGGATGTGAGTCGGGCGCAGTAGGTCATTACATAATTGAATTTAATATAAAATCCATTTAAATTAAGTAATTATATAACCCATTGGTAAAACAGAAAAATGGAGGCGCATTTACTTTTGTCCCTTTTTTTGTCCTTTTTTAAAATTTTTTGTCCTTTTTTTCCCAGTTTTTTTTGGCTTATCTGTCCTGTTTTTCAAGCTGAGTGATGGCAGCACTGCTGCGCCAGATGAACTCGTTGGTTCGGTCCGCGCTCGGAACCGAGGCAAAATGAAAACATTTTAACTAATGACAAACAATTACTTAAACAACGAGTCGAACGACAGCGAGAAGGGTGAAACCGAAGGTAATTAAAACCCTACACCACACACACATGCCCGCACTCCACTCATTTTGTGGGGTTTTGGGTGTTTGAGCGTAAAGTCGCCGGCTCAAAAATCGTTTGTTGTCCTATGTGGGCCGGCGTGTTGGTTATTCCCGTTCCTGCTCTCGGCCAGGTAATGAGCCTCTCTTTCGTTTTTAATGAGTCTCGGCACACAGAGATATAGTACGGCTCACATGCGGGCCCCACTCAGGTGTAATAAAAAACTTATCGCCGCTGGCTTTCGGGCGCTTTCGGTCGCAACGTTTGACAAACACAATGAAATGATTTTGTACGTCGTTAATTGTTGTATCGTCGTTTACCATCGTCTTGGCTCTCAAATTAAATCTGAAAGGTGGGTGACACAATTAAGTTGGCCTTTTTTCAACGAGCTGCCAAATGACTTGTCAAAAAGTGGGTGGGGCTGGCTGTGGGGCTTGCGTGTGTGGGCCGTCTATTAAAGCCTCACTGTTCTATTTCAGGAATCAGGTCAAATGATAATGTTTTTTAAAAGCCGTTAACCGAGTCTTTGTATATAAAGAAGTAGTGAGGGTTTTTTTTCGGAAACCAATAAGTTAAATTATGTCATTAATCTTGTATTGCAAACCAAACCTGTCTTTTCCTTATAGAATTAAAGCAAGAGAAAACGCTTTATTTGAGTGTCTCGACTACTCGTTATTTAGGCATGCAACTTTAAAACCATAATTAACGGGCGGTAGAGTTAATCCCAACTTTCTAGTTTCCGAGATCATAACGATCACACGGACGGACGGACAGATTTACGGACGGACATTATGTATATTCTTCACAAATCGCGGTCCATCAAGCATAATTTTTTCCCTAAACTAGAGTATTAAATAACTTTATAAATACCTGTCAAAGATTAATTACACTGTTGCACAGCATGAGGAAATTCCAACAAGTGGTTATGCCATAATGAATTGTTTAGTTACTTATTTCAGGCACGCACCCAATAAAACTTTTATTTTAAATTATAATTATATTTTTTACCCGTGTTATTGTCACGGACCAAGCCATTGATTATTGGGCGATTGCTCGCTGGCTGTTGCTCTTTGGGCGCTAGTTTAATTAAAAACGTGACAATTTTACCTGCGGCCAATGCGGCGCATATTTCATACGCCATGTGTGACCACTGACCGACTCTCCGATTCCCCGACAGACGTTGTTGTAGCCAGGCGCCTGTACTTCCATTTGAAAATACAAAATACATATATAAAATGTTGTTTACATTCATAACAAACATTTCACGTTTCGCAGTCGAATGTCGTTACATTTCACTTTCGCCTGCCACAAATTTAATTAAGTGTATGAATATGACGGCGGTGGTGGACGAGGCCACAGGGGATTGTTTTTTAATCAATGAAGCGTCAAATTGAACTGATTAATATTTCCTGTTCCCAGGTTAAACAATTTTGTTTACACTTTTTTCATGAGTTCATATAAAAGGTTTTGAAATAAACGGATTTACGACACAATAGGTTGGCAAGCACACTGTGACTTACCAAAAATGCAGCTGATTTCTATTATGTCCCGCGTAGCCACCTCTATTCTTAAAAGTGAAAAGAAATATAATTATCTTCCTGTATTTTTTGGAAAATGTAGGACTAAATATGTGTGTTAAGTCCGACAGCTTCAAAAAGCTAAGGCCCACTGTGATCTGTGCGATTTTACCTAATTAAATCGAGTGAATCTGGCAGACAGACTTAAAAAGTCGATGACAATCTATCCACCCCATCTTGGTCTCTTCATTGACGGCTTCAATTCTTTGGCAGCTCACGCACAACTCAACCGCAAACAAATCAGATAAGTAACTCCCCAAACGAAAGAAAACCTGTGAGGAGGAAAAATAAAATGCGACAACCTCTGGCAGACGAACTTTGTGGGCCAATTTACTTAAGTGACTTAGTTTCAACAGGTTAAATATTTTAACTTGCTACATTATTTTGCAGTGTAAATTATTTCACTATATAAATATAATATATTTCTTATTCACTGGTATTACATGTATGAATATACAAATGAATTATTTTATTTTATTTTAAGTCATTCAAAATTAGAGTTTCGCTGGGATCGAATTTATATTTAAATATAAAGATAGAAAGATCATCTTTAAATAACGAGGATTTTCAAAAAACTTTCGCTCTTTCAGAGTTTTATTAACTCAATTTAACACTATGCACCCTCGATGTCAACAACAGCAGCGGTGGCAGTTTATAACTTCAATTAGCAGTGGCCAAGGTGAGCTGATTGGCTGGCAGGTATTTCATATTTAATTAAGGAACTTTTAAACAATCGCTGCTGAAGAATTGCCGACGCCTTATCAGAGTGGTAGTTAAGCCAAAAAATGGAGTTTCCCGACTCGCAGGCAAACTAGTGAAAATTTGAGTGTCGCATAAAATCCCGTCTGACATAGTTTTTGAGGGAATATCGGTCTAGAAGGCAGACGCCGAGCAGACACAGTCAACCGCAGCACACACCTACACACACATGCAAACCGAAGGCTGAAGGATAAAGGACGATAAAGGAGATGGTGCGAGGAAGATGGCGGCGAGACAGCAGTTGCAGTTACAGTTGCCCCTAAGCCGTAATTGGTTGCGTCACTGCGTAAGTCACGAGTTCGCCTCTAGTCCTTCGAGTCCTTCGAGTCCTTGTCGTTTCCATGACGACACCAATACAATCACACTGACACACTCTGACGCACACACATGCACCGGTCGGAAAGTATGCTGTATTTAAATAAGATAAACGCAAGCGCCCACTAATTGAATTGCTGACAAGATTTGCCAAGCACCGACCCACAGCCTGGGAAAACCCGTCCAGATTGTTGTCGTCTCCTGGAATTTCGGTAATTAATAATTCCAAGTAAGCGGAAATGTGAAACAAGCATGGAGACCGTATCAGGATCAGAAGGAGCACGAGCAAGTTTCTCCATCTAATTGTTGCCGAGCGAAATTTAGTCTCGGACTGTGTGTCAGTGGTTTAAAGTTTATAGTGGTTGCAAGTTTGTTGAGCCATCAGCAGTTCATGAGCGGAAAAGTAGAGCAGGATGAGTTTCGCTGAAACATGATTGTGAGAAGTGTAGGCTAAGCAAAGAACTCAGCAGATACGGTAGAATAATTCGCGAAACCGAGGAAGAAAATTAAAAAAAACCTTTTTGGGTAGGTACACGATTATAATTAAAGTCGACACCTATTGCCGAAAACTTTGA